CTGTTATCTCTCCTACCCTGTGAATGGGTGTATTGTCTTGCAAAAAGAGAACACAATTCCACAGCTTCCATTGCCATTTTCTTTCAGTAACTTATTTAATCAGCACAGTAAATGAGAGTAGTATCCTGATTAACTATTTGGCTCGTCTAAAGGTATTTTGTCATATTAAAAAATTACTTTCGCCAAAAGTCAACCATGACTATGATCTTTCCTGCCAACTTTTGGGTATTGAATTTCTTTGGTCATGCAGAACCCAACATAAATTGTTGTCCAGTCTCCAGATAATAGTAGTATAACCTTATTTGGATTCAAACTATTTTCCGCATCTTTGTTGTTGTTATCACAAACATTTCGGCCACTGTACCCTGCTGCCTTCATTACCTGGATCAATATATATCTGATGATGGCAGGACGGAAGAACAGTCAAAGCGTTGTGATAACAACAACAAAGATGAGGACAATAGTAGTATAAACTTATTTACATTCAGACTATTGTCTTCATCTTTGTTGTTATCGCAACATTTTGGCCACTGTACCCTACTGCTTTCATCACCTGGATTGGTATATACCTGATGATGGTAGCAGGGCACAATGGCTGAAATGCTCTGATAACAACAAAGATGAGGACAATAGTCTGAATGTAAATAGTATAAATAAGGTTATATTATTATTGTTCTCATCTTTGTTGTTATCAACCTTTTGACCAATGTTGCTCCATCCTGCCTTCATCAGGTATATATTAATCCAGGTGATGAAGGCAGCAGGACACAGTGGCCAGAATGTTTGTGATAACAAACATGAGGACAATAGTCTGAATGTAAATAATGATAACTCCTCATCCCAGAAATTCAGTCATAGTATAACCTTGTTTCATCAATTATGTTCAACCCTGGAATATGCCTGTATAGATATACCCACACTCCAGTATCTCAAAGACTACATGTTAAATTAAGGTTGACTTTTTGTAAAATTTCCTGTATTATAATTCAATTAACATTTGTTCAAAGTTAATGAAAAAGGGTTTAATTCAGTTTATTTTTTTTTTAAATGTCAACATTTAAAAATGTATGTAATATAGTAGTACTATGATTTTCTGGAGCTTTCTAGAACTTCATGGAAACTTCTAGAACTTGTTTTTGTTTATTTGTAAGTTTATATGCTATGCGATAACTATAAACTGTTAAATGTGTTAAAAAATACATAAGTACTATCCAATTACATTATTATCAAATTGAAAAATAAAGCTTTTGCAAGTTTGCAATTTTTGTTTATTTGTAAGATTGTATGTTATGCTATAGCTATAAACTGTTAAATGAATTAAAAAATGCATAAGTACTATCCAATTACATCATTAGCAAATTGAAAATAAAGCTTCTGAAATTTTTTTTTTTTTTTTCCTCTACCCTTATTGTGTATATAGCAAAATCGAATTTTCAGTTTGGGGGTGACCTTTTTTCAAGAACTAAAACAAATTGTTTCTTTTTTTTTTTGTTTTGTTTTTCATTAGTTTTGAACAAATGTTCATCAATTTATGACACAGAAACATGGGGTTACAAAAAAAAAAGTTGTATCCTTAATGATACATTGTATAGCGTGACGGACGCATTAACGGAAGTCACAGAATTTTATATATAGATACGTTTTATATTTGCTCACGTTTTGAGGAATTTCTATCTTCATTCATTTCGTGTTTCTCTATGATAATTGTATTCACTAATCTGTCTAGAAATGGTGGGAAGCATTTTTGATCCTGTGTCCAGTTTTGCTTTACGTTTGTCTTCTGTCAAATCAGAGCGAATCCATTTGTCTAAGTTTACACATCTTTCTAAGTTGTTCCATATAACAACGAACTGTTGTATTACATCAGTTCACTTTTTGTACTCGTCCTTTCACTCTAACAACATCATTTCTATCGAGTTCAGACCAAAGCAGGCCATCGATAAACTCAACCGAACCAGTCATTTATTCAAGCAAAAGATGGAGCTATGCATTATTAGGTAAATGTCTGTAATTTTTTAGCACTTCAGTTTACATGATGAAGTGAAATATACAGAGGAAAATTGTATTGTTTATGGCAAAGGATGTTTTTTCCAAAGCCATATAAAGTGAGTAGCTTCTCTGTAAGATAGGCTTTACTTTATTATAGGTACCTCCACTAATTTGGTATATGTAAGGTTTAAAATGAATTTCTTAAAATGAAAAGCTTTCATTTTAGCTTTAATTAAAAGCTAAAGGATTTAAAATTTATTATTTCCAGTAAGCAAAATACTCTGTGCTGTGGTGTATTTCAAAAAGAAATTCTATTGATCATAATCAATTTTTTTTCAGTAAAATTTATCAAAATGACCATTTTTGACAGATTTGTAAACAAGTTAATTCTCAGTTCTAAAAATCTTACAAAAATAAAATATTTCTGAAACGTTATTTGAGGAAAATAAGCAAATTTAAAGTTCTATTAACTCAATTTGAAACTAATATTATTTATTTAAATGTTGTTTAGACATTTCTTAACTACGGGATCTTGTTTTTCTGGCATGTTAATAAATTTATTGACAGTCGATCTACAACTGAACATCCTCAGTTAAATATGGCAGAACAAAGTTTTTTTTTTTTTGTTTTTTTTTGTTTTGTTTTTTTTTTTTGTTAGGGGGACAAATCTTAAAACATGTAACCTATTAATGCTAGATTTATCAGTTTGTACATCCATAGTTCAAAAATTCTGCACATAATCATACATACAGAAATAAATCAAAATTCTTTTTAAAATATTCAGTGTTGTCAGATTGTAATAAGCTTTACAATATATTGATAAATATAGTTTTACTTAATAACAATATTTCCTAAGAATTGAAAATGAATTTTAAGATTTAAAACGTTAATAAACTATTCAATTTAAAATTGTAAAAAAAAAAATGAAAACAAATCTTGTAAAAATTCAGTTTTTGTTGAAAAAATTTTTTTTCTTCAGACAATATTGTCTTTAATATATATTATTCATAAAAGCAATTAAAAGCTTCTCTAATTAAATAATGTCTTAGTTTTATAGCGTTTTTTTATTTTTAGATTCAGAACAGATTTTTGGTAAGACCAGGTCCAATTTTGCAAAAAAATTTGATTTAAATTCTTCAAAGACTTTTGCTTTTAACTAATAGTCACTAAAAATTATCTCCTTGAATTTCTCAAGTTTTTATAAAATTAAGGGGCTGAAACACATGTTAAAAGAAAATTGTTACCAAGATTCTCTAATTAAAAAATATCAAAAAATAATTTAATTCATCTGTGAATAAGTTCTGAAAATTTCATTAAAATGCAATTATTTGATTTTTGCAAGAATTTCAAAATTAATGTCTGTCACTACATTAAAAAAAAAAAAATCAAGTTTTCTAATTAAAATTTTGAATGTTCTAAAAAGTAGTAAAAAAAAAAATTTAATTAAACGATCAAAAAATACTTTGATCCTTCCACTTAATAATAACAAAGATTTTGACAATAAAACTGTTTTCATCATGGTATGCTGATTGTTTTTAGTCTTTTCATGGAGGTCCCTACTTTATAAGTATAATGTGTCTTGTAAAATTAATTTTTAATGAATTCAATCCTTTTTAAAATTTCTGTCTTGTCATTTCTTTTGTGTTTCTTCTAGCGCACAAGACTGCTGGAAAATTCAGAAAGATTAGAACGAGTGGGGCGGAAGCTTGATCATGGTTATCGAACTGCTGTCGAAACAGGTGACTTTTTATATTACTTTATATATGCAAGCTTGTATTCATTATATAACTAGCATAGAAGCTGCCCTTTAGGCAGAATTTAAGCTAGCTCCTGCAGAGGGCTTTTGAGCCTTCTGACTTTTACCTTGAGTGTCCTATGTATGTAAAAGTTATAAGAATTTAGAAATAATAAAATTATTTTATCTTTATTTGGCACCTTAATTCAGTATAACTTTTCTTCATATATGCAAATGAACCCATAGTTTGTTTACATTTATTTTGCATGTAATTTTTATTTTTATTTTTTTAAATCACAATACCTTCATATAAAGTCACTCTTGAAAGATGTTGGGGAACCTGAACTATGTAAAATTTCAAATACGTCACATTACATGTGCTGGAAAAAGAAAAAAAACATGTGCAACATACTGTGCCTCATTTAAGTTTTAATTTAATCACAGGTCAATTAGATATCAATTGCAATTGTGATGAAAAGCTAAATTAAACCTCTAGTAAAGAATTGTTTTTAAACCTCTCACCCTGTTCAATATTTATATTTAACTTGAAATGAGTTATTTATTTCATTTTTAATCACCTGTAACTATAATAGTAACTACCTGTTACTTCAGATTTATTGAAATAAAAAAAAAAAACATGGATGCCAGACACACATACACTGCACTTTATTTATACAGATGTACTTAAAATACATTGGTGTTTTGGTAAAAAAAAAATTATTGTATATTTTATTTCTTTTTTTTTTTTTTTTTTTTTTTTTTTTTTTTTTTTTTTCCTCCCTCTAGAACAACTTGGCACTACCATTTTAGAAGATTTACACACTCAGCGGCAGACTATCCAACGATCACGGTCTCGGGTATGAAACTGTTTGTATTATTGGTGTAAGGCATTTCTGGGCAAATTGCAGCCCATTTGGTATTTCCAAATGGCACACTTACATTCTTGTTCATTCACACATTCTCTAACACATAACTGCATACATAAAAAAATGATTAAATACAATGTTTCTTGAATTTTGCAAACTTTTGGTGAAAATAACGTTTTTATCACTTTAAAATATTGGCAATTTTTTTACTAAGGATGATCCTACATGTAACATCTTTCACTTTTGAAATGGAAATTTTTTTTTTTTTTTTTTTCACTGCTAAAAATAAGTTGTCTGGTATACTTTAAAAAGTTATGTGGCTTACATTTTTATTTGTAGATATAGATGTACTTATTTTATCTTATTTCTATTTTTCAGCTAGAAGATATGAATAGTGCTCTAGGGAAGAGTTCCAGAGCTTTGACTGGTATGATGAAAAGGTAAAAGTTTTGCTTTATTCACAAGTATTATTTCTTCTACTGTATGTGGTAACCTCTCAATTGCAGTAGCCTAATTTTCAATATCAATTAAGGCTGTTTTGATATTGCCATAGCAGGATTTGACAACACAACCATAAAATTCAATGTGGATTTAGTAGCCATAGTCAAATGCAAAATAAGTAACTGAACTGTCCAACAAACAGAATTGACAAAGTTTTCAATAAGCAATAACAAGAAAAAGAAAAGAACAGGGCAAAAAATAATATAAAGCAAGCAAACAATATATGCAAGGCAAATGAACAGTAATAAGGCAAAAAAAGTTCACAGACTAAAAATTGGAGTTAACACACAAAAACAAGTTCAGACAAGCAAACATAGCATTATGACTTCAAAACAGAACAAACAGGGACTGAGTCAGATGAAACAGAGAACCAGCCTATTTTATTGGCTAACAAAAAGTCCCTGCATGCATTTATGTGCTTCTGCCTATAAAATGGGAAGGGGCAAGTGTTTTGCAGTCATTCCAGCATAGACTGGAATCAACATTCAAAGACACTTTTGTTTGGTAATCAAATTTGCATGCACTAGGCAAACATTTTCCTCAGCAAAGTTAAGTACTCCATGCTAAAGACAACTTCAATATTGTTATTCTGATGGACATTGTCCCCAAAGATTAATGTTGTTTCCTCCATATAGAATTATCTATTGTGGTCAGCAGGTAAAACTTAAGACTAATTAACTTTGTGTGGTGGTTTGGCAATGTCATATACCATTTCCACCTTGCTAGAAATTTATTTTATTTTTAACAACCGTATTGGATGGCACATGATACAGGGTTAGTCAAAATTATGTTACCATGTTAAATCATCTTGCACATATGATATATTTTGTGAATAAATGACTTCTACTATTTAAGTGTTAACATAATTTTGACTAACACTATATCCTTGCCACTACTTCAGCAGGAAATGTTTAGAAAAAAAATGGTGGTTATTTTTTTATTTATTTATATTTTTTTTATCATTTCACCCCAAGCAAGTTGATAATGCCACTAAGACACAAGGGGTTACTGTGACTGAAAGAGAATATGAAGACTCTAGATAAAAGAATGCGATTGATGTTAAAGAATATGATTCAGGAAGATGAGATTGCGATTGACATTAGAAATTTGAAATGTTATTGGAATTTAATCTGTTTCCTATGTACATCAATTCAAAACAAGTTTTTTGTTAGGGGTGGGCTATAGGCTAAATTTTTCAAAAAAGTGGCAAAGTGTTTTATTCCATTCATTTGTGTCCAAATAGAAGGAAATGGGCCAAATTTTTTGAAAATTGGGATGGAGTCAGACTGAAACGTGCCCAGACCTGCCTGGGGGCCAAAAAATCACTAAAAATGACAACTTATTCCAAATAACATCAACATTTGCCAACAAATCTTGGTAGCTGCAACCCTCCTGTCACAGCACATGCCCCTTACATCTTGTTTGCATGAGCCATACTTGTGAGGTGTTTGACACAGAACTTATCTGTTCTGAAGCATGTAGAGAGTAAATTTGAACTAAAGGAAAAAATAATCAAAACAATGCCATCTTAGAAATCTTTCCTGGCTAAAGGTTTAATCCCTGCTGTAATTGATGCATTTTGTTGCTCCAGCCGAATTTTCAAACAGTTGGCCCATTTCCTTCTATTTGGGTACAAAGTAATGGAATAAAACACTTTCCAACTTTTTTGTTTTTTTTGAAAAATTTGGTCTATTGTTTGTATTTTTTTTTTTTTTTTTAGAATATCTACAATTTTCTCTATTTTTTCTTAAAAAAAAAAAAACAATAGAGGAAGGAGACGAATTTGGTATATACCTCCCTTCAACAAATTAGTTTGTACCAAATTAGGACACAAATTCTTAAATCTAATTAACAAGCACTTCCCTGCGAAGAGTAAATTAAGCCAGATCTTCAACTGTGATACCTTAAAAATACCTTAGAAATCTAGATAAAAATATTGAATCACATAACAATAGAATACTGAAACTTCATAGAGATAATAAACGCAACTTAAATACAAGTTCTAATACACCTCAAGAAAAAAGGCTATGTCATTGTAGAATCCCTGATCAATGTCCATTTTTTAAACAAGTGCTTAACCAAAATCCATAGTGTATATGTGCTATATTTCATCAAATGAGAACCCCCGGAAATATTAAGCTGTATGTGGGGTCAACTAGCAGACCTTTTAAGGATAGCTATTACAATCACATAAACTCTTCTACAAATACGGCCAAACGAAATATAACATCACTTTCAAGATATTTTTGGAAACTTAAGGAAGAAGGAAAGACACCTATGGTTAAATGGAAAATCCTAAGACAAGCCAGAACCTGCAATTCTCTAAGTGAACCTTGCCTCTTATGTTTACAGGAGAAAATATGTATCATTGAACTCTTGAATAACACCCAATTATTAAATCAAAGATATGAAACAACCATTTTCTGTAGACATACTAAGGATCTAACACTACAATCTTGTTAAATTCTTAATTCCATAACTATAAACAATTTAAGATTCTAAATCACCTCCTTCGATATATTCCCTACCCTCTTATGTACCTCTCCACTAATTATGATTCTTAAAGAAATTTTTTTTTTTTTTTTTTTTTTTTTTTTCATATATATTACTGGTAATATTTTCAGATAAATCATTTTACACCCATACTTATTCTGCATACTATATGGTCCAGGAATATTTCAAAATTTGATTATAAAAGTTATATTAACATTTTTTTAGAGGAAATCACCACTTCTAAATTTTAATCCACAAAACACATTCATTGATTATAGAATTAGTAGTGATAACCCCAACATAAATACATGCAATTCAGCTCTAGAATCTTTATAGTAAACCAAAAATAACATTCCCAATTACTACTAGAACTATCACTACAATTTTACCTACTCAAACATAATACTATCCCCTACCCCTATCTCCATCTTTCCTTTCCTACCTCTCGCTCTTAGGATGATTGTGAGATGATGTGCCTAAACTTTTGACTGGTGTTTATCGGAAAAAAAAAATTTCCACAGACCTGTCAACATTAAACACCCAATCCATTCTTCACCAAACTCCTATCAACAAGCACTATTGTTTCACTCTGTCACCTGTTTTTTTTTGTTTTTTTTGTTTTTTTATATATATATATATATATATATATATATATATATATATATATATATATTTTGTATATTTTTCTTCTCAAACAAATGGAAAAAGGAAGTGACATTTCACATGACTTGCCTACAAGCAGGATTGCTCATAACCATTTTCGATTCTCACCCGTTGAAGTGCAGTTGAAATGCACTGAAACCAAATTGCATCTTTGTAGTGAATAAAATGGCTTTGTCTATATGATAAAATTATAATAAATAAATTATTGCTCTACTATCGGTATCGAGCCCTCTTTTGGATTAATGCTGTGAACATTAGAATTTATATGTTACTTTCGTTCTCATCACATCGCAGATATATATATATATATATATATATATATATATATATTATTTTAGTTTACCCTAGAGCTGCATATGTTAGGAAGATTGTATTGCACAAATTTTCTAAGTCTTGCCTTGAAAATCTGAATTCGAATTACTTACCACGGCTTGAACATCAAATGCTAATGAGAAATATGCATCTATCTTATTCATCAAATAATTCCTTTTAGAATGTGTGTGAGGAAAAAAAAAAAAAAGTTAAATTTATTAAATTTACTTATATTTCATTTTTTTTTTTTTTTTTTCTACTTTCAGAATTATTCAAAATCGAATTCTGCTGGTTGTTATTGGACTTATAATGGTGCTTACCATTTGTGTAGCCATATATTTAATTATACGACGTTCCTGAAGAAGATGAACAATGGAAATATTCAAATTTATTTAAATATACAAAAACATTTAAAAAGTGATAGGAAAGGGAGCAGATAAATATGTCTCTACCAGTCCCTCTCCAACCTACTAATACGGCCCCTCCACAACCGATACCTTTGGTATATTTCTTATGATTTCTTGAAAAATCAATTGATTGTACAACATAGCAGTTATCAGTGTCTTTTTATCATGCATCTTCCCCCACCACTCTTTTTCTTTATTTCATCTTTTTGTTTGTAAAGGTTTAAATAGAGAAGCCAATCTTAACAATGCAACTTAATTCAATGCATTGTTTTTTTTTTTGTTTTTTTTTTTTTTTTTTTTTTTATCCGCAGAAAAAAAAATCAACAAAATTTAATATTTCTATCATTTACATTCAGACTGTTATCTTCATTGCCATATCCACAACGTTTCGGCCGTTGTGCGCTCAGAATTTTGTATGAATGGAATTTCAAACTGAACCCTTTATTTCATACACCAGGGTAGATTGTTCTAGTTCCACATGTCATGCCTCTTCCGGCTGTCTCAGTTATTTCCGTTTAACTCAACTCTCCAGGTTTTTTTTTTTTTGTTCACCACTACTGAACTCGCAACTCTTTGGGACGAGCCACTGGATCTAACCGATGTCTTTATCCACTTAGCCATGTGTTTCCCTCAGGCTACAACAGTGGTGGATCAAAAAACTTAGAGTTGAGTTAAAGGGAAATAACATCTGGAAAAAGCATGGCACATGGAACTAGAACAATCCACCCTGGTGAACGAAATAAAGGGTTCAGTTTGAAATTCCAATCACCTGATAAGGCTTGAATACGCAGCAGCCAAAATGTTGTGGATATGGCGATGAAGATATAGACAGATATTAAAGTTTAATATTTTTACCCACAAAAAAAAAGTAGCAAAAATGTTTTTTTTGTTTTTTGTTTTTTTTCCTCTTGACACTGCTATTACTCTTAAAAATTTGTTTTAAAAATCTATTTTTAGAATTTTAAAATCTAAACATGAAACTTGATTTATGCATTTTTTTTTTTTTTTTTTTTTTCTCAAGAATTGAAACCAAAAAAATTAAAGAATGTTTATTTTATTGGATTGTTTATTTATAAAAATAATTTTATTATGTTTACAAGTTTATAAAAATATGTGAATCAATTAAAATGCAATATTTATCATTTACCAGATATAGAATTAACTATGAAAACAAAATGATTATTCATAAATTTATAAAAATGTTTGAACAAAAATTTAAATAAACGCATAACAATGACTAACTGTAATTACAAATTTTGAAAAAATACATTTTTCAGGTAGTGTTTTTATATATATATATATTATATATATATATATATATATATATATATATATATATTGTTGAGAATTGAAACAAAAATGTTAAACACTTTATTACTATTATTATTTTTTTAATTACCAGAATAGTGCTTAATGCTATTTTGATTCTCGAGAAGAAAAAAAATGCAGTTTAAAATGTTTGGGTTTTGTTAAAATTCTAAAAATAATCTTTTAAAACAATAAAAATTGCTGAGAGTATACAGTAATAGTATAGTCAAGAGAAAATCCATCCTTTTGAGACACTATTTTTTTTTGGGGGGGGTATTAATGTTAAACTTTGCTATAAAAGAAAAAAAAATCCTTACTGAATTTTTACCTGTGATGTTGATAAAAATTAGAAAATTGAAAAACGGTTTTGAAGAGAAAAAACAACAATTTAAAAATTATTATATTTGGTGTATGCAAGAGTCTCCAGCAAAAACATGTATTTTCAACTATCAAGGGTATTAAAACTTTAATTTAAAAAGAAAGAAAAAAACAATTCCAGGAACTTTTGCATATAGTTAATCTTTAAAACTTAAAGAAATTAATTTTAAATGTTTTAATTCTTCAAAGTGTAATTCAAAATTTTGGGAAACTTGAACTGGCCGAATGTAGCATTGATTTTCATTTGTTTCTTGTTGAAATCACTGTATACTTAGATATCCAAGTTGACTATTTTGGCGAATGGAGTGAAAATTGGGTGTTAAGAGAATAAAATTTACATGGCTAAGTGGTAAAGCATACTGGATCAAATTGTTTCTTCTACAAAGGGAGATTCAGGTTTGATCCCTGCCAGCAAAAGCATTTTTTTTTTTTTTTTTTTTTTTTTTTTTTTTACTAGGATATGCAGACCTATAGATGTAATATACACTGTTTAATGAATAAAAATAGGGCATCTATTTCAAATACAAACTATCCACCATAATTTTGAAGTAATAAAAAAATTTAAAAATATGGATGCTGAAGGTAACATTAATCAGCTGAGAGACAAACCTTTCACTCATATTTATTCTCTCTCTCTCTCTCACACACACACACACACACACACACACACACACACACACACACACACACACATACATATATATAATTTTTACATACAAAATGTTTGGTTCTCACCAGTCAAGATGCAGCCACATCAAAACAAGAATGCCTCTTTGTAGTGAGCAAGGTGTTTTTGTCTGTATGTAAAAATTATGATAATTATTGCTCTGCTCTTGGTATCGAGCCCTCTTGAATTAATGCTGTGAATGTTAGAATTTATATTATTTTTATGCTTATTACATTTGGAGATATATATATTTGCATATTCTTTAAAACAGTCTTGTTGATTGGCTCAGTGAAATTCTCTGAAATTTTGGGTGCACCTCATATATTTGTATTTGTCATTACTGTATAATTTTATTCATATTACTACCAAAAACTAAAAATCTGTAATGGAACTCTAGACCAAATGATTATAATACTAAATCAGTTACTATTCCAGATCAGAATATCTTTGGTAAGTGTAATTAAATAGAATGTTTCTTAAAAAAAAAAAACCTTTTCCCTTCTAAAATCTCTGAAACCATTATTTAAATGGATGCCAAACATCATTACTATAACATTTACTTTTAGTATCTAGTTGTTTTCCAAAATTCATGTTTTACATGCTAAAACCCTCAAAATAATCAAGTTAGTGTTTTATAATATGTAAGACATAGATTTATAAAGCAAATGTCCTTACCTTTTCTTGTAATTTAATTTTTACTTCTATCTCTCATTATTTTAAAACTGTTGAATCTCATGGTGTATCATTTTCATGTGTAAAGAACACAATCCTTAATCTTTTATAAATTTCTATTATCTTGTAAAATCTTTATAAACTCTCCATGATTGGCCAATATGTTGTAATGTTCTGTCTTGTCCCAATCTGTTTGTTTACTATTCTTTTCCATGTCTGTGTAACTAGAACTTGTTAAAGAGTGTCATCTGAATACACCACCCACTTTATATATACAGACATCTTCTGACTTAAAATATCTTTATTTCTTTCCTTATATTTATATGACTAAAACAAGCATTGACCTTTCATCTGAGAGTACTATTTTGGTCAGTGAAAAATTTTAAACTATTTGACATACTTGCATTTAAAGAAAAAAAAAGCCAATCTTTATTCCATGGCAATTATTAACCAAGATTTAGCTAATAAAACATACATTTTAAATTTGTTGAAGGATAAAGAAGTATTGGCTAAAACATTCTTTTTTTTTTTTTTTTTTTTTTTCTTTCTTATAGAAGACTGGAATATTTTTGTTATGTATAATATCCTATTTATACCCAAGTGTAATATATTTATTTATATAATAAATGAGGAAGCTATACTGAAATTTAAAAATGTTATACCAATATCCTCATGTTTTCATCATGTTTAAGCAATATGCTTTTCAATTTCTTTAACTTGTTTAAATTTCAGTGAAGGTTTTGTGTTGAAATCATTCTACTTGAGTAATTCAAGTGTTTTAAATTTAAAAAAAAAAGGAAAAATCTCCAAATCATGACACGTTATTAGTATTTACTCTTGCAATGTCATTTTAATAACTGTTTGAACCTTGAACTTTTTCCCCCCTTAACTAAAGCAGTGTCATAATAAAAGCAAAAATGTGGGCAACGATTGATTCATTCATTTTCTACAGCTTATTAACCCTTTGTAGGTTATTTATAGCCAGAAAATATTTTTAGATTATAAGAATTTTTTTTTTTCTGATAATGATTTAGTAATAAGTCTTACTAATTAACCTATAACTGGGAGGAGAAGAGGTGGATTCATACCTTTCCCAAAGGTATTTGCACATAAGTGAATATGAACAGGAATTGGAACTCTGCTCTCCAATTAACAATTCTGAGCCATTGTCCATTACACAACCTGCACATCCAAGCTTACACCACCTGCTATTCCCAAGTTGTCACCCATCTAGGGACTAACCAGGCTCAATGATGCTTAACTTCAGTGATCATACAGGACTGGTATTTCAATGTGGTGATGATGGCAGTGATAATCCTTCTCTTATTTTAATCAAATATTGTTAGGAATGACTGGAAGAATAGGGATGATAAATTTAAACTTTCAACATAAATTCTTGTTCACCAAATCTTTCTGCTTCTTTTATCTTATATCTATTGTTTTTTTTTCCCATGACAATGCTGAGGTTATTTTTATGTTTCACAAACATTAAGCAAGCAATATGAGTTTGAAATAAAAGAATCAGCCTCTGGTGGGATTTGAACTTGTCACTTATCTTTGACTGGAACACTGCCTTATCCAAGTCAGATCTTATTGAAGGCTGCTTCTTTTACTTTCTCTCAGTGCTTCTTGCTTAAAGGTTATGGCATTGCAACTGGATTGGAAAACGGAAATAAGAATAAAGAAAAAAAAAATTATTGATATTTCTTGATTTTATTTTAACCACTTGGAACAGACTGATGATATAGTGCCAAAGGAGGAATCAGTCAGTTAAGTACCATACTTGGGCAATCAACTTTTTCAATCCATGAATGACTAGATGGAAGACTTTCCTGCAGTAGGTTGCCATTTCTTTCTGTGGTAGACTGGTTGGCAACCAGGGCTTTCTTGCTATTAAACCTATAGCTGGGGGGAGAAGAGATGGATTCATACCTTTCCAAGGGTATTTGTGCATGTGAATGTAACAAAATCAACTGAAATTCAAACCTGCCTCTCTGATTTTTCATTCGGAGCCAGTATCCATTACACCACTCAGATGAATATAATTTGTAAAAGAGTCTTGAAGTTCACTACGTTCGCTAACAGCCACTCAAGGTCTGTTTACTACTAGTATTTACTTGTCCTCCACGGTGACAGATGTGACACAAGGTCGGTTTAAAGTAGGGTGCCCAAGAGCCTGCATCTGGGCTAATACCAAAAATTACCCTGACTCTGCAACCAACATTGCGCTGATATCAATATCCATCGACGATCCCTATTGGTACAATGAGGGAGGTACTGCTGCAGGGTTGGAATCCCCAGGCCCAGACATCCCTCAGTTATTTATTTGCACTGTCTTTAGACAGACACAAATTCAAAGATAGTAACTACAGTCACCAACCCAAAAGGTTTTTACAGTGGCAGAAAAATCAGCAGTTTTTAAGGCAGTACACTTGTGCTTGCTTCAAGATTGGTCAGGAGTGAAATAGATTTGCATGTTCTTTAAAGCAGTCTTTTTGATTGGCTAGGATTGAAATGGATTTGCATTGTGTGAACCTTTCTTTTTCTCTCTCTCTCTCTCTCTGTTTCTCTCTCTCTCTCTGTTTTTCTCTCTCTTTTTTTTTGTGTCTCTCTTTTTTTGTGTGTCTCTCTCTCTCTCTCTTTTTTTGTGTCTCTCTCTTTTTTTGTCTCTCTCTTTTAACAAAAACAGCATAGCCACAAAAGGCACTTTGGCCATCATGTTATGTTTCATTTTCTTCTAATTCTTTGTTTTAAAACAGCTAATTACATCTCTTGACAATGAGTTTATACTCGGACAATACTTATGCTGTCTTGAAAATAGAAAAACTTAATTTTTTCATCTTGTTAAAGTCGTCATAAATATTTCTGGGTGGCACTATGTCTACTGCTGGTAAATAGGATACAGACAGCACCTAATAAACAACATACTGGCATTTAAAAAAGGCAATATTTATGAAGAAATATTGTGCATATATTTCTTATCTTAAATCTTTGCCAGGATCCTTCTAAATCGTCTCCAGATCATTGGCAAAAAGGTCCTTCCAGAATCTCAATGTGGATTCTGTGCCTCTCCTGGTACAATCAACATGATTTTCTGTGCAAGGCAACTCCAAGAGAAAAGCAGGGAACAACAAAAAACCCTTTTCCTTGTTTTCTAGTACTTAGAAAATGTCTTTCATAGCAAACTAACAGCTGCTATATGGAAAGTTCTTCATTCTGGAAGTCCCAACCACTTTATCTGGTTCAAGCAATGTATGACACTATGTCTGGGCATGTATTTCACCAAAAAATGCTTTCAGGAGTATTTCCAATCATGTTTGGACTAAAACAAGAATGTGTCTTGGCACCTATGTTGTTCTGCTTATATCTGGCCACAATGCTCCACAAACCTCCTCCAGACTACCCAGGATTTGACATCAGATATCAATGTGATAGAGGATTTTTCAGCTTTAGTAGATTTTGATCTAAATGTCTAACATGCACACAGATCTCAGAATATGCTGATGACAATTCTGCCCACTGTCATTCAAAAGCAAAATGACGACAGTTTGTGAACAATTTTGCTATGGCCTACCATTGTTTTGGCCTTACAGTAAGCATCAAGAAAACCAAGGTCCTTGAACAGCCAGCCCCAAATACCATCTTACCAGATTTTGATATTATAATCTGTGACACACCTTCAGAACAAGTAGAGCATTTTGCATATCGAGACAGCTTATTTCACCTCCAAAAAGAATATGGGACCCAGAATTGGAGCTGCACATGGGGGCATTTGGAAAGCTAATCAAATGCATCTTCAACAACAAAGATCTGAACTTAACAACAAAAATTATGGTCAATAATGCTGTTGTCATTTCAACTTTGCTCTGTTTGCAAAACCTGGACTCTATATTGTCACAGTATCCAAAATTTAGAACACTTTAACCAGCAAAAGCTTCATTCAATCATGAACATCAAATGGAATTATTATGTGACCAACACCAAAGTCCTGGATAGAGCCAAGAGTCAAAACATTGAATTGCTGATCATTAAACACCGTCTTTGATGGTCAGGACATGTAGCAAGAAAGAAAGTCAAGGTTACCACATTGTCTTGTTCAGTGAGCTCACTTTAAGGAAAAGACTACAGGGTGCCCACTTTGAAGATACAAGGACCAACTCAAAAACACTAGAAGCCACTGGACTTGAGCCTAAATTGTTTGAAACAAATGCACAAGTTTGTACCAACTTGTGATGTTGCATCATCATTGGAACCAAAAACTTTGAAGACACCAGAAGAGAAAAGGAACAAGTCAAACAAGAGTTGACAAAATCAACTTTGTCCTCCACCAACATTATGATGCAGTCAATACCATTGGCTCTTTCATGCAAGAATTAGTTTACTGAGTCATCAACGCCATCATAATAAAGAAATTAAATTATTAGATACAAGATAAAAAAGACAACAATTTCTTAGGAGGTTAGTGATACTTTTTGCAAGTTTTAGATCTTTTTTTTACTCTGGCCGTGATATGGATTAAAGAGAATTTCAAAGCAAATATCACAACCTACAAAGTGGTCTGAAAGTCTTGTCACCTCTACATAATATAATTTTCTATTTCAGATAGCTGATGTGATTTCCTACAGTTTCGAAGAGATGTGAGGATGACAAGTCTTTTGGACCACACTGCATACTAATCTTGTTAATCTTTCTTGAACTTTAAGAAATAAAAATGATTGAAAAAAAAAGTACCACATTAATCATTGTACAAACCGATCAGGACATGCAGAAAACAATAAGAAATAAATATATGACAAATAGAATAAATTAAAATTTAACTTTGCTTTACCTTATTGAAGACTCTTATTGGCATATCTAAGACAGTGACAAGCAGGGAATAGTGCTATTGTTTGGAAGGGGAATCCCCCTCCATAAAGACTTCAGTCATTTTATGTGGTTATTTCCTCCCTCTGTGCTTTGGGAAGCCACACGGCAGTAAGCAAACAGAAATGTATAGGTTCATAACAGATAGATTTCCTTGCTTGATATCTGAGGACATGTACAATTTCCAAGAGATTTTCACCCCACAAAAAAGTGAAAGATAAATGAACCCTACAATAACAGAGGTTTCATTGTACCTTAATTTCAAATACAAAAGGCTGCCTTAACAAATTTCTTTATTTTTATATATGCTGACATCTGGAAATTATTTTACAAATACCCTTCACTTTCTGGTCAGTTGAATATTGATGTAAATCTTTCACTGTGTTAATTTAAAATATTAGAAACATGTATAAAAGTTAAATAACTAATACAATGACTGCTATAATGACAACAGATAATACCATTTTAATCTGGCAACCTTACAATTTGGCCATTGCTGGATCACAAAAAAATAATCCTTAAAGTAGTGATTCCCAAATTTTTTTTTCCCTGGGCCGCATTTTTGGAATAAAAATTTGCGAATCGGATTTTGTGATAAAAAGTAAATTGAAAAATAAAAGCCATTATGTGTTAAAGGGGATAACGGCAGATTTAAAGTCAGAACATTGATAACTCTATCCTCCAATTTGCAGAGCATAGCTATTCTTAATATTTAATATAATGCAAAAATATTACAATGATAAAATCAGTCAATAATTATTTATAACTATTAGGTTGGTGCAAAAATAATGACGTAATGTTGTTTTTTGACGTTAAAAAATACATCAAAAAACGTCATTATTTTTGCACCAACCTAATATTTGTAATGGGATACATGCATGCAATTAGAAATAATCCATAATATTTTAAATTATGAAATCCTATTTATTTCTGGTATATGAATTTTTTGAAACTGTTTCTAAATCTTTGATTGTCTTTCAATCATTCTGCCTCACCTGCTATCCTCTTCCACTGCAACTATGAAGCACGCCACACCATCTCTAGTCTTACCATATTCATTCCACATATTGCTATAGTATCCACATTAGAAAAAAAAAACTGAAAATGAAAAAAAAATGATACCATCAGTGAATACAAGTTTTTTTTTTTTTTTTTTTTATAGTATAAAACCTAATATTCTAAGTAATGGTACTTGTATCTAAAAAGTCTAGCAAGGTGTTTATGGTGAATAGTGTCTCCTGGTTCAGTGTGTCTATTATGTTTATAAACAACTAAATTCCAGTTCAAACTGGTTTAAAACTGAATTAACCCCCTTCTGGTAGAGAAGGCTGAGGCTTGCTTTTTTTTTTTTTTTTTTTTTTTTTTTTTACACTAATTGATCCCTAATACAAAGGCCACTTAAGGGAAAAGTTTACTGAATGAAGTTGAGTTGTAGGAACAAAAGGCAGTAAGAAGTGCATATTATGAGGGTTCCCTACATGATTGTCCTGGAACATCCATGAATTCAAGTGGGCTGTAAATGATATTATTTGGGCCTGAATCACTAATGTTTTGTGGTGTGCAGCAGTAAAATCTAAATGTGAGGACTTCAAAGCAACCAGCCAGTATCCAGAACCCAGAAAAAAGAAATTAATAAATGAAAACTTTCAGGATCAAGTGCCACTCAGCAAGAAGGTAAGGAATTCCAATCAGGTCAATTCTAGATAGCAGAATCATAGTCAAAAACTGACCAGAGAAGTGGTAGTAGAAAGTCAGTAAACAGAATGAACTATCTCAAGCCATCTATAAATATGTAGAAACAATTGTAGTCAGAGATGGGCAGGAGTTCTTGCTGACCAAGGAGAGGATTTGGTCTGTCATGAAAGAAGACAGAAATAGCAGCAAAGACGTCTCAAGTGTCACTTACCTTAACCCCAGACAATGCCATATGAATCCATAAATAAAGAGTCCAGTATTTAAAAAGAGGATATGTTTTGTTTTTTTCTTACTAAAGTTCAGTAATTTCCCTTTCTGTTGCTTTATTAAACCCAAAGTGAGCCTTTCCCAGGTTTTGTTCACACTGACACATGGGAATAGAAAATGTTGGGTGAAGCTGTCTAGTCAGTGAAAGACTAACCAAGGGACCTGGTTGTATGTTCATAGTCATGAGAGTATATTGCAGGTGTTTACTGAAAAGTTATCTGGCCAACCTACTTGCTTCAAGTCTGACCAAATGAACAAATAATAGTTTTTTTTTTTTTTTTAATGTTTTCTTTGTTGCCAAGAATTAGCATCTCCTCATATATCAACTTTTTGATCTTAAATAACAAGAAAGTGTAGTTTGTGTGAGAATCAATTTCACTGTCTTTCTTGCTTGTTCTTTGATGCTTGCATTGGCAAAAATGACTCTCTTCATCTTCTTGTCTATCTTTCATGCTCTTACCTTTCGTCCACCATAGAAACCCCTCATTCAACTATAGAATGATCTTAGGATCTAAAACAATCATTCCTTTCCATCATCAGTAATGTGATTTTGATATTCTTTTCAACTGTCAGAAATTTGCATGTTACCAGCAAATTCTTGTATTTGTGTGAATGTAACATTGTTAACCTCTTCCCTACTATTTTGTGAAAAAAAGTTTCATTTTCAGACAATTTTTTTATTTGTTTTTAATATAGTACCTAATAAATTGAGGCACCTTGAAGTACCCTAGTGGTGGCTAATACCATTACCAGATGTATGAGATGACACTTGAACTCATTTCAAGCTCATAAAGGCATAAAAAGAATCAAAATTGATGTATATGCACACCTGTAGCTGGTTTTTGAATGTTGTGTTTTGAATGTGTTTATTCATCCATGTCTGACAAAGACACTTTTGGTAAAAAAAATATGTACATGTCTATGCTGGGGAAAGGGTTAACAGCAAATAATAAATTCTTGGGATTTCTTACCCTTGAGCATGCAACATACAACTGGTCAATAGTGTCTCCCAGCTCAGTGTATCTATAATGTTTATGAACAACTAAATTCCAGTTCAAACTGTGATTTAAAACCAAATTTAACCCCTTCCCTACCAATTTTGGGGAAAATATTTCATTTTCAGACAAATTTTTTATTTGTTTTTAATATAGTAACTAAGAAACTGAGGCACCTTGAAGTACCTGAGCAGTGGCTAACACATCTACCAGATGTATGATTGGACACTTGAACTCATTTCAAGCTCAGAACAGCATAAAATGAATCAAGATCATGGGGTTAAATATTCACCTTATGAGCGACCATTTTTTTTTTTTTTTTTTATTTCTTTGAATTCCTTTATTCAATGCACATGTGAAGTCATTGTGCTGGCAGGAAGTCATTTTTTTCTTTATTTGCTTTTTCCTTCAATTCTCCAACCCCAGAAAGAACTGATGAATATAAAAGACACATTTGAGTCTTTTATTTAAACAGATCAAAAAGAAAAATATATTTTCCTTTAAGTGAGTTTCAGAAGTTAAGCGTCTTTCTTATTCATCATCATCATCATGTTGCATGATCATGTCGCATGACCTAAGGTTGCTGCAGTTTTGAGCATCTGACTACCCCACATGTTTCTCTAGGTAATCATTCATAACATGTATAGGACAAAGTAAACCTGGTGCAGCCAATCCCTCTCTTGGTTAGACCACAGCTGATGTCTTCTGATTTGAAAGTTTTCTCTGGTCAAAGACATTTGGTCATTGATTCCATTGAAGAAACCTTCCACCCTGACCAGTCTAGGAAGCCCTCTGCTCAGCAATGCTGTATCATCAACACTTTGGATATACTTCCAATAGTTTAGTCCCATGTGCAGATTTAACCTCCAACCAGTCAAAATTCACTGTCTCTCAGATGAACTCCTCACTGGTGAAACCTTTGGAATCAGTACACAAATAGTTGCTCGCATAGTTTGCTTCCAGAGGTGATGAACTGAGGCATTTTGTGTGTAGGTGTTGTTACAACTTTGAGATATATTGACCAATCAGAAATGATTATTGTAAAACTTATTTCTGGAGCCTGCATTGTGTTTAACTTGCACAAAAATCTATAACTAGTATATGAAAATATAAAGTAGAAATATTTTAATATTTGTTATCAAATGAGGACATAGTTAACTCACAGTAATATGGTAATTGGTTTTGATCCACTGAAATGTAGAAGTTAGGTTCTACAACACCATGCACACACAAACACATTTATATAAAACATATTTCACAACTTTTTTTTTATTTTTGTTTTGATGATAGCAATATACAAAAAAGAAACAGTTACATGAATAGATGGGAACAAATGCCATCAAAATGAAGAATTTTATTTACAGACTCTACATAAAAATGAAGATTTAAATTCTTCTTAGCATATTAATATTTTTAGCTGTTTCTTCTGTCTCAAAAATACATCATATATTAGGTGTGTGCTCCTTTGAAAACTAAACACTAAATGCAGAGTTGAAAACTGGTATTTCATTTGAAACTTTTGCATGCACCTAATAATATAGAACTGTGGATATTATGTAGGATTTAAGGGAGCCTTAATAATGTTTATTTTTGGTTTGTTAGGATTATTATTCTGTAGCCATTCTGCCAGCCATCCCTGTAAAAAGAATGAAGAGACATATAAAAATTACTTGTCCTGGAAATCATGTGAAACAAAAATACGGAGTGTAAATGTAAAGGTTCATTTACTTCTGTAAATCTTAATTTTAATTAATATTTTTATTCTAGTTTAATAAAAGTGGTTGTAATTCATTTAATAAAGGTTTTTCTTAATGAATATATAGTTTAATTAAGATTTGTTGATTATCTGGGAAAAAAGAGACAATTTTTTTAATATTATCTTAGGGGTTCAATTATTTTGCTAAGACTGTTTTATACATACATACATATATATATATATATATATATGTATGTATGTGTGTGTGTGTGTAGACAATAAAATATATATATATATATATATATATATATATATATATTTTTTTTTTAATTTGTGTCATATTACACCAAACAGTGAGGAACAAATATATATTTATTATTAGTATAAATTTTAGCTCTGTTATTTTACATCAGGCACTGTTTTATTACCACCAGCACTTATTGTACACACACACACACACACACACACACACATACTTACTGGAAAGCACTCAATATCAGTGATAGTGCTAACATATTTAGTTTGATTGATGTGAGTTTTTTTGATCACAAACTCACATCAATCAAACTAAATATATATATATATATATATATATATATATATATATATATATATATATATATATTAACTGAAGGACTGGACATGTCAGTGATGGTCATACTCCTTTGTGAGTCAAAAACCACTATATATATATATATATATATATATATATATATATATATATATATATTTGGGTATTTAGGCAGCAATCCTTCTTTCATGTACATTCATTGAATACAACAGACAAGGAGCTTTTATTTAGTTTTTATACAATTTCTCTTGCAATCTAATAATTTTTTTTCTTTTCAGATGATAAATTATATTATATAAAAACTGTCTAAATGTTCTTTTTTATCCAAGTGCTATACATTTACCCATTTTCAAGGATTAAATATTTTAACTGTTAAATAAGAATAGTTTGTTGCATGTATGTATCTATGTATATTTATATATATATATATATATATATATATATATATATATATATATATAGAAAGTCTTAGAAATTCTACCAGACTAGCCAACCATGTGTGGAAACAGAAAAAAAATTACAAAAATCTGATTGTAAACTGGTAAATTTTTTAAAAAAGCAAAACCTTCCAACAATCATAGTAATATCTGCAACCTTTGTCAACAAGAAAAGCTAACAACTTTTGAATAAGAGATCTGAAATTATGATTTATTGCATACACACTAAAGTTCTGTTTGAGCTTGTATGAACCAGGATGAAAAGAAAGTATGTACATTTCATTTAACCACCCACTGATACATTTCCAATACTCTTGAGTTTTTCCTCCTTGTCATCCCCTTCTACCACATGATGGATGTGTATGTGTATGTGTGTATGTATATATATATATATATATATATGTAGTTGTAGAGTGAATAAATGAAACAGCCAAATATAAACAGGTGTTTTCACATGTGCTGGTGTGCATGCACAGTCAAGAAAATAATCGTTAAATTTATGCATGAGGTGTAAATGTAACAGTGCTCAATGCGGTTATACAAAGATATGCATTAATTAATACATATACGCGTATCTATGTTTATATATATATATGTGTGTGTGTGTATCCAACCACACTTGATGTCCTTCCCATGCTGCGCATTGTGTCCTAGGATGGAAACTTCATGCTGCCACTTCTCTAAAGTTTGCCAATCAGCTGGTGGTCTCAAGCATCGCATGAAAGTTCACAGTGATGCCAACACCGTGTCTGTTGTTTCAACCAATGCCAATGCTCACGAGTGCCAAATCTGTTGCAATATATGCAAGTCGCTAGCAGGACTGAAAAGTTATCAACTGGCTCACAGACGGTCAATCAAGAGTGGCAATTGTCTGACAAGACGTCACAATCAATATATATGTTTGTATGTGTCATTCGCAGACAGTACTGTTTTGATGTATCACAGCTCTTCAGTGCGACTAGACATCTGAATGCTTCAAGCCAGGATTGAAATCCGACTGATTTGGTGTCAGTCAGAGTTTCTACCACTGTGATATCATCATTCAATATCGTCTATATTTAATTTTCCCACACCTATAAATTGATATAAGCAAATTTAATACTAAGATTATTTACATATAAAGGCTGTGGGGAGAGGGGCTTATTTGAGGAAAAACACTATTGTATTTTTACATTGGAGGTGAAGTTTTTAAATATATAAAAATAAAATCACTAATGCAAGAGAGATAACTCTCAACAGCAAAAAATATTTTGTATTATACAGATGTGTCTTTGTTCATCGTAACTGATCACTTAGCATTGTTTTAATAGATTGCTCCTCTTGTAAAAAATAGGGTAAATGTTTTCAGGAATAATTTTAGTAAAATAACATTCAGTAGACCTTCCTCAAGACTTGAAACTTGTCAAAATTTAAAAATATTGAATTTTTATAAAATTAGAAGATGCGGAGGGGTCTGGTTCATAACATTCGTACAGCATCAAATCGGTCCTTGGCTTTTATATAGCTATTGGACTTAGCTATTATTTACAAATGTCAAGTTTGAAACTGTGCTTCTTAGACCATTGATATCTGCAATTTTTTTTAATTTTCTGAATTTTTACAACTTATTTTGTTTTTGTTTTTTAAACTGGCAGGCACAAACATTGGTGGATAATAATTATTTATCTTAAATAAAGAATAAATGTATATATACTTTTATTAAGTTATGTAAATCTTTGCTCCTTAATTAAAAATGTATATATCTGTTACTATTAGCTTATTTAAAGGAAAATCATGTGTAAAGGGAAAAGTCTGTTTTTGTATACAGAACAGCTGTAATAACAAATTATAAATAACTCTGTAAAAGTCAGGGATTGATTTTACACTGTATCAATATTATGAAGAGGACCCTCTTAAGTTGACAAAAAGATCAGTATTTTTTATTCTGATAAATGTTGTGCTTTGAGGAATGTCTAAGAAATGCTAATATACAAAAATAATTTCCATAAGACCTTTTCCTTATTTCTTATGATGGACCAGTCTATTTAAGTAGTGCTGAATGATTATTTTGATTCTGATAAATGTGGCTTGAGAAAGGTCTAAAGAATGCTTATTTCCAAAAACCTTTTCCCTATTTCTTACAAGTGGATCAGTCTATTAAAGTAGTACTGATCATTCTTAATCTTCCTTATTTTAATACATGTTTCTTATGAAGAAACTTACCACTGGATCTGCAGGTTTCAGCTTGCTTAATTGTGTGAGGCCTTTAAGCAAGGTTGGGTTCACTGTTTTGGCCAAGTAATCTTTTGCTGACTGACCAGTGATTATTGGCTCCAAAATAGCTGACAAACGAATAAAAAAAAATTCATTTTTGAATGAAAAAAAAAACAAAATTTTTTTTCAATTTAAACATGAAAATAGGTATGATTTAAAGCTTAAAGCAAAACATCTAATAATAAGACTATAGCCCAAAGATGAAGAAAAGTATTTTGCACAACAAATATTTTCCTTCTTCTGTTTGAATTTCTGGAAAGAGGAGTTATCATTATTTACATTATTTGCATTCAAACTAATTTTCTCATCTTTCTTATTATTATTACAATGTTTCTGCTATTGTGCCTTTTGGCTTTCTTCATTGATCTGGGTAACTTTCAGAGAATTCTGAAATGAACATCTTATTTAATCCACAGGGTGGATTAGGGATATTTTGTCTTGTTCTTTTTTTCAGTTCTGTTTCCCCTGAATTTAAGTCTGTACTGTGCTGGTGCTATACTCTGTCACAATTAGATCTCTTTTTGATTCATTCTGCATGCTGGCTGGATGTGAATGCCACTAAGGCAGAAAATGAAATAACAAAAGTCGTCTTCTGTGCATTAGGCTCCACATATCACATCTGGCCTATGAAGTGAGCTCTGGTAGTGGCCAATTGCAAACATTCCCACCAGAGAGAAAGATGCCCCTGGGGACTACCAGACCTGCTTAAAAGAAGGTCTCTGAGAACAACACTAGTCAGTTGCGACCTGGCATGCCACCACCCATCATGCAGGGCACTGCTGCTGCTGCTTCCACCACTGCCATTGCAACCTTTGCTGCCACCACTCAACATGACCACACCTCTCAATGACTGTTACCACTCCCAGTCTTGACTAACTACCTCAGCTATCCAGCTTCAACTTGAAAACATCTCAACTTCGACTACAAATTTTCATCATCAACGACAATGTCATCTCAGCAAAACCAACATGATAACATCTTAATGTCAACACCACCAATCTACAAGCCTTCCTTGCTGCCAATGCTATCACCTCAGCAAATCCAACTCTGCAAATAAGCAACTCCAACTCTGCAAGCAGCAACTTCAACCCTGCAATCAAGTGACTCTGACTCCACAAGCAGCAATCCGACATCACCCAGTTCAACACAGCAGGTCTACCAACCAATGAAACAATTCTAATCAGCCAAACATGAACCGGCCATATCCTGTGACCTCAGCCAGGCCAGAACAAGAAATAGGTCAACTCCCGGCACTATGCTTACACCAGATTACTATCCTGATGATCACCCACTGAAACTAACATTTTACCTAGCTTCGACATATCTGTATGATATACTACCCTCCACTGTGTCCTTGATCAACCAATACAGACAATAACCATATCCTGTGACCTCACACCAAACCCACACAAGAATTAAGTCAACACCCAGCACTGCTCTTACATGACCACCATCCTAATGACTGGCCACTGAAATGGATATTCCACATATCCTTCAACATCTTTGTACAACTTACCAACAATAAAAGTTGTTCCAAATTTAATCTTCATTATCCCATTCTCTCGCCATCAAACACTTAATATAACACTGGTTAGTACAGAGTACTCAGTGGAAACAGAACAAGCATTACCTGAGCAGTGCTGAAAAGAACTAGATGAGATAACCCAAAACATGGACAGTAGAACAAGAATAATCTACCTCCATAGACTAAATAAAGAGTTCAGTTTCAAAATTCCCTGAAGCAAAAGAAAAATAATCACTGAATTACCAACTGGATTATTTTAGACAGACAAAACCACATCAGTCATACATCCAGTTGGTTGCACACTATATGTAATTATGTAATTTCTTACTTTTTTAAATTTGTAGTTAAAAAATGATATTTATTTGGACACAAACTAATATTCTAAAATTTCAGTTAAGAATATTAAAAGGGTTTTTTGTTTTAACCTAAAAAGCAGTTAAAAGTAATTTTAGTGCAGGTTATGGTAGACACATTAAATTCCTTGAGCACAGACCTTGAATCTTTTGAAAATTATAAAATATAGAGTAAGTAGTGAAGATGTGCTTACTTTCTGGAAAAAAGAATCTAATTTCACGCTCAGCACATATTTGGTTCTCACTGCCATGAACAGCATTTTGAAGTTCATCTTGTCCATATACTGCACGAATACTGGAAAAGTAAATTAACATTTACATAAAACTCAATTCAAAGAAAATAAATTTTTGTCATTTTTTATATTTTTCTTTTCTTAAAAAAGGATTTTGATAAACTTTTGGTAAAGTTGGACCTTCATGACTGCAAAAAAGTTGAGTGTCAAAAGGACAGTTTTTCCATTGACACTGCTATTATTTTAACTACCTACACTCCCCAGCAATGTTTGTTTTAAAAAGCGATGATTTGAATTGGAATAAAACCTAAACATCTGATGAAAGTGAATTTATAGATTTTTTGTTCTTGAGAATTTACAACAAAAATATTAAACACTATTTGTTTATTAGATTGTTTATTTACAAGAATAATTTTATATTTACAACATTCTAAAAACTAATGCAATTAAAATTAATGCAATGCAAATTTTATCATTTACCAATTCATAAAGAAATAAATAAGAAAACAATTTTTTATTCATAAATTTATAAACATTTACTAAATTATTAAAATATGCGAATCAACTGTAAGGAAATCCTTATTATTTACCATTTTATAAAGTTTGAATCAATTGGCAATTAGCCAATGTTTTGTCAACGATTCCAATAAACAATAAATAAATAATGTTTATTATTTTTGTTGTCAATTCTCAAGAGCAAAGAAAATGTATAATTCACTTTCATATTTATTTTTAGGTTTCATTACAATTGCAATCATCACTTTTTAAAACAATAAACATTGCTAAGGAGTGAATGTAGTTAAGATAATAGCAATGTAAAGGGAAAAACTGTTTTTTTTTTCCCTTGACATAAACTTTCCAAGTTTGCCAAACTTTTTACAAATATAGAGCAAATGATTCACTTCAAATTATTTGTTGTGGAAATCCATTATGAGAAATTTCCAATAGCAAGCAGTTTTTTAATAGGAATGTATTGTTTAGAAGAGGTGTAAATTCTGTTCCTAGAGAGAATTGTAGGATTCCAGGTTGGGAATTAGGACTGCAGATTGGAAGATTGAAACTGCTGGAATATTGATCTTGCTGCAGTTTTACAATACATCTTTTGAGTCAGACAGTCTTGAAAATGGGGAATGCTTCACTGAAATTTTTTTCTCAATTTGACATTTGTAAATAAAAACAAAGGAAAGATAATGCTTTAAAAAAAATCAAGGATCAATTTGAGACTGTATTTATATTATGAACAGGACACCCACCCCATTTAAAATGATAAAAAGTAAATAGTTTTTTATTCTGACAAATGTCATAGGTAGAGGAAGATCTAATGAATACTAATCAACAAAAATTAGTCACAAAACAAATTTTTCCTTTTTTTTTTTCATGAGTGGATCATTTCCCTTCAAAATTTCTATAGAGAATGACATTCTGATATATGGGGAAAAGCATGCATTGGCAAAAAAAGTGTTGGTTCCAATCCCTAGAATGATTGCTAAAAACAGACACCTCTCCAAATTTATAGACAAATCCTACAGATGTATACTGGATTTCTTACTAACCAATAAAAACAAACTACTTCTTGGTCTCATTGGTCATATTTTTTTATTTTTTTCTTAAAGTTCGAACACTACAATCACTTGACTGTGTCCCTTTTGTGTGTGGACACCATTCTTACTTTGGAACTTTTTGCCTCATTACTGTTGCTAGTTTTGCATATATATTAGTATTATTTTACCTTGTTCTTTTTCTCCATTTTCTTATTGTTTATTGGAAATTTTGTCAATTCTAATTGTTGAGCATTTTTGCCAATTGCATTTAACCAAAGCCAATTACTCCACAAAAAGGTTGATAACCATTGGTTAAGAATTTAAGGGAGGATTGCAGTCCAGGGAATTTTACCACATAAACTTAAAACAACTGGAAGATTTAGAAACTAAATGCATAATAAAATATTACAAATTGGACTCTTGCCTTATGTATTTGTTGTTAAGCCTTCATTCTTTTTTATTTTTATGTGCTGTGTCCTTTCAGGATGTAGGTGATCACGACTCTCTACTTCCCCCTATCCCTTGTAGCTCTCAATAAGTTTCATGCCTCTGCCAACTCCTCCAGACCACATTCTGTCGTCCACTTGCTTATGCCCACCAAGTATGTCATGCATTGCTTTCCCTTGTCTCTTTTTCCCTCTATTAAACCTGTGAGTATCAGGTTCTCCAGGCCCTCCTTTCTCATTACGTGTCCCAGAAATTTCATCTGCCTTTTCCTTATGTAAAATATAAGCTTCCTCCGTGTTTGCATCCTCTCCAAGACCTCATCATTGCTCACATGCTCGGTCTATGATATCCTTAGCATCCTTCTGTAGAACCACATCTCTGCTGCCTTGTGTCTCTTCTTCATCTTTGAGGAGACTGTCCTTCATTAATATACCAATTCATTTCAGCAGCTTTAGATGCCTATATATAACTATACTACCACCCAAAATTTTGAATGTTTTTCCTCAAAATTATAGACAATAAATTTATAATACAATTTGGTTGAAATTATACATACCATCTTTGAGAAGAACACATACACTTGCATTGATGTTTATAGATATTGTGGCAATGATTATATGTTTAAAGGAAGAAAAAGAATGTGGAGTGTTTAGTTACCTGTCAGGACAAATTTCTTGAGCTTTGAAAGTGTTTGAAGGTCCAATTAACTCATCCCACATGTTAATGGCCTGGTTCCTGGCAAGAAGCAGACAGATAATAGGACCATTGCTCATGTATTCCACAAGACTTGAAAAGATTTTCTTCCCAAAATGCTCACTATAGAAATCACTTGCTTGTTCAGGTGTCAACTGGACTTGACGTCTCTAAACATAGAGAGAGAAGAGTAAACCAAAGAATCATTAGAAATTTGAGATATTTTTATACCAAAAAAGTGTTTTTTTTCCTAAAGATCAATAGTTTGTTCATCATATGTTCTTTATTAATCTTTTCTGCATTGATGGAAGCAACCAAAAAAAAAATAACAAATATGAATTTTGAATAAAAATATTACCATATATTAAAACCTATTATTATAACACTTCTTCCAGTTGGTCCTGAGTCAACTCCCACACTGGTTGATACTGCCACTGGTCATTGAACATTGGCCACCTTAGTCTGCACCTTACCCCACCCACATTGTGCTTTTTTATTACAGAACTTGTACAGACCGAGTTGTCATCAACAATTGCAGTGTTCGTTCAAACCACAGTGAAGCTGTGTCATAAAGGAAAATAAAAATGTTCTTTGCAGATGAAATAAAAGAAAACAGGAATCCTTTGGGTCCATTTTCTATTTGGTTTATGTGTTTTTTTTACAGAAAAAATGAATGCTTCCCACTTTGGTTTCTATAGTGACACTTTACCTATTGTTATGGGGGACCTACCTTTATGGACAAAATAGACTTGTCTTATGACTATATTATGCCTCACAAGAGGACTGCAGACAGTTGGCGAGTTGACTACTGTACTTAGCTGTTAGACGGACGTGCAACACTTCTGTATTCATTCTTTTTGTTAATAATACGTTTTCACTGAATTGCTGAGTTCAAGTTTTCTTTCGGACCTCTTCTGGGTCCACAACACCTATCAAAGCTAAGTCTGGAATAAGACTCAAATTGGGAGTTTTCTTTGACAGTACGTCACATGGACTTTGGCAATGTGGTCATCTCTTGTCATCTGTTCTCTCTGGAATGACTACCACTCCAACTGGTTTGGTTACTTCAGCACTCTGCTTATATTGACTGTTACTTAAGACTGGCATGGGGGATGATGGTGTTTTGGAACTCAGGGTTTCTCCAGTCTTCCAACAACAGTTCTTTGTTGTCTGACTTTGGAAAATTAATTATCTCTCCAAATCTGGGAGATCCCTTATTCCTATGGATATTGGTTACAGGTACCTAACTGCCCGTATACCTTCTGCTATTTATGCCTTGCATCACTACTTCCCAATGAGCATAGGCAATTCCTCTGTCTCTCTTGGTATCTCATCTAAGTCTTTCACCTTAGTTATCATTTTGAGAAATCTGATTTTTAAACCGCGTGGTGTGGCTTAGCTTCTGGTCATTAATCATAATTATCATTTTAATTTTTATCAGTAAACTTTTTAGCTGTATCCTTCAACATCTATTTCTATATCTTAACCCAATTGCACTTATGAACCTCATAGGACTGTTTCTTGCTATTTTTTTCTCTCTTTTTCTAGGCTCAATGGCTAATTCCTGTGAAAACAAAATTTTCATTGGTTCAAAGAAAACTTCATATAGGCTGGTGAATTTGTTTTTGTCTTTTTCTCAGCTCACTGGCCAATCTCTGTGAAGTCAAAGTTTTCATTGGTCCAAGGAAAATTTTACATAGGCTCGCAAATTTATTTCTATCTTTTTCCTCAGCTTGCCTGAATTTGAAGGTAGTGGGTTATTTCGTATTCACCACAAGCTCCCTGTATACTGATATTTTAACCTGAGATTTAGCAATTTATTTTCTTATGCATAATGTTTGGGTCCATGAGTAAACAACAATAAACACAAATTTCAAAAAACAAATAACTCCGTTTCTATATAATAAAAAAGGGAAAATAATTTTTATATCAAATTTTTCTTCAAACCCTCTTCTTTTTAATAATATAAATTTTATGACACTTGATTGAAGCTATCCATTATTGAATAGTCTTTTGTTAAGTTGGTGTTCATTTTTGTGACAAGTTCATGATTATTGCTAATTTAATTGATCAAGTTTTGTTGAGAAACTAAAGGAGGAGAAAGAAAATTGATTTCCAACAAAAACAAAAATTATTTTTTCACAAGTTATGAGTTTTGTATGACTAAAATGTTTTCTTTTAATCATTTCACCCAAAGCAAGGCAATAAAGCTGCTTAGTCACAAGGGGTTACTGAGTGTTAGATAATATGAGAAAAAAACCCTATTAAGGAAAGAGAACAATAAAAGAACAAAAATTAAGAAGACAGTAGATAATGATTGATATTGCATTTATGATTTAAATTTTTGAAGATAAAAGTTGGCTGGAAAGCATAGATCCGGAAGAGTGTTCTACAAGTGAGAAGTGTAAGAAAAGAAACTGTTAGCATAGAATTTATATAATAGCTACATCTAGTCATTTCAACCACCAATCTAGTACTGCACTTAAATTCATAAAGTCTCGGTACCATAGAAGAAAGTTCATCAGAACAATTATTATAAAAGTATTTATACAAAACGCACATGGAGGCTACATTAAAGTTGTGGCAAAATGACTGAAGACAATAACATTGGAGATTCTTTGGATTTTATCAAAACTCTCTAAATAAATAGTGTCACAACGGAGGTCTGTAATAACAATAATACAGTTTAGTCTGGTGACTTCTGTCTGCAGAGGTGATATACCTGCTTTTTTTTCACACATACTCAATATGGCTGACAATGTACTTCCATTTTTCTATTCCCTTAGTTCTCATTAACAACAGATAGCATAATGTATAATATTTAGCATAATGTATAATAACAAGTAGATATAATGTAAAGGGTGTTCCAATAATTTGGACCGATTTTAAATGTGAATTAAGTTTAAGCGTCTAATGAATTTTTCTTTTCTTTCAGATTTAACAACTTAAGTCTCTGGCAGTTTAAACCCTGGAAAGATTAACAATCAAACAATGTGTTAAAGTTATCAAAACCTATTACAAAAATGGACATTCAAACAGAAATTTTCCCAGGTCACATCATCTCTTGAAACAGCAAAGTCAATTGACCACCATGATCATGGAAGTTGATGCCTTCTGATTTCTTCCTTTGGAGTCATCTCAAAAGTAAGGTCTATGCCAACAAGCCAATAACAATTCAACAGCTGAAGGATGAGATAATAAGGCATATTGGTGAGATCAAGGAGCAACTATGGAGAGATGACATCAAAAATTTTGACGATCGAGGGGAGGTGTGCCAAAGCCTTGGTGGACATTTAGGTGATATTATTTTTCACACAAAATAGCCATGACTTAAATAACAAGATCCAATTGAGAAATAAGTAAATTTTCGCCAATAACATTATTTTATTTACTTCTGACTTTGATCCGTCTTAATGAAGGACCCTTTACTTATGTTTAATTTGAGTGGAAATCTTATTTAAAGCAGTTAATTTGGGAATTCTTTTCACAATTTAAAAATAGGGGTATTTACTGTGAAACTAAGCAAGGATTGAATTGTTTTTTTCTAAGTTTTTAAAATGAGTTATTTATATTATTCAGTGTATTTTCATTTTAATTTATATTATTTTATTAAGAGAGTTTTATTGACAAAGAAGGTAAATGTAAATGTTTTAAAGATTTTTACTACTGGGACATTTAATATTAAAGAACTTGTGAAAAAACAAAAAGCAAGAATTATTGGCTCTGGACATTGATAGTTATAATATTGATGTATATTGTTTACAAAAAATCAAATCAAAGAAGGACTTGATATTAATATCAAAGTTTAACGGCACCAATTAATAACTTTGGAAACAATAAATATGGAAATGGTTTTGTCATCAACAGCAAATGGTAGAATAACATCTATAGACATTAGATACACATTGAGCAACAACATTGGAAAGACTATTAACAAAATTTCATAATTCTCTGTAAAACCTTTGAAGAGCTTGGAAGACCTGTAGCACTTTTTGTGAGTTAGCAAAGGATAGAGAGGTTAGGAGAGGATTAATAAGAGACATTTACAAAGCAGCTGAAGATGAGAAATCACAGTGATTTGCAGTGTGCTTTCAAGTTGAAATGGCTCTTCTTCTGATGATGATGGTGGTGGTGGTGGTGGTGGTGACAATGACAATGATTCATGATGTTGATGATGATGATTCATGGAGTTTTTTAAGCAATCTTGTTTATTTTTACAAAATGTTGGTCAGTCATTCCTCAGCCTCTTCTGCTAAAAGCCAAATGTACATAGAAGATTTTTTTTAATCACTTCACCCCAAATAAGGCGATAAAGCCACTAAGATGCAACGTGTTACTGAGAGTGAAAGAGTCTGAAAAAAAAATCATTATTAAGGAGAGAGAACGTTAAAATAACAGGATTCAAGGACACAGAAGATGATAACATTGCATTTAAATTTTTGAAGATCAAAGTTTACTGGAAAACTGGAAGCCAGAAGAGAGTTCCACAAGTGAGAAATGTAAGAGAACTGTTAGCATAGAACTTACAGCTACATCAAGCCATTTCAACTGTAAAATGATGAGACCTAGCCGCCAATCTAGTACATGTTCAAATTTGTAAAGTTGAGATACTCATCACAACAGTCACCATGAAAATATTTATAGAAAAGGTACAGAGAAGCTATATTATGACAGTGGAAAAGTGACTAAAGCCAAGATGCCAGATCAGCACCAATAACATTGCAGATTCTTCTTTGAATTTCTCAAATGCTGAAAAAGATTTAACTATTCTTACTTAAAGCATTAATAAAAAGGTCCAACTTCAAGGTAATAAGTCTTGCATTTGAAAAATGTACAATACCCATAAACTTGTTATTGCTGTTAATGCCAACCAACCTGTAAGATAGAAAATCCAGCACGGATGATGATGTCCTCAATTTCAACAGCTCGGGCCACAGCATCAGGCTTAATGATGGCTAACGTTCGTTCCACATAAATCTGTGGTTGCGATATGTTTGTTGATTCATTCATCTTTTGGACAGAGATTTTTTAAAAGGAGAACAATAATATTAACAAAAATAAATAATTGCCGTAATAACAACAAAACGAGACAAAATCCCCGAGCTTTCCTTTTTTTTAGGCGTCGTCGGCTGGATTCTGTTGCTATGACGACAAAATCGTCAAGTCTCGAAGCCGCGAGACTACAATGAGTGCAGAGCTCGCGAGACTTAGCAACGGCGTCGCGAGACTATGGTGCATGTTTTGAATTACTTTGGGGAAAATTAGCAGAAATTATGTCGACGGTGAAAAAGAAAGTTAAAACAGCACTAACAACAACAATACCGTCTGTTGCTTCTTAAATTGATGCGGATGGACGACAGGGTGAGTCGAATTGTTTTATAGTCAAAGTTAAGTTCCATAATCTTATAAAAAGTTTAATAGTTTTGTTTGTTTTTACTTTTTTTTTTTAGTTACTGTTACTGTTGCATGTCCGTACCGGTCGTTGAAATAATTTGGTTATTCAATTGTATTAAATGCCATTATTAATTAATTATTATTTCAGTTATATTGCAAATAATACACTAGAAATATTGATATTTCATAGCTGTGGAATTTTTTTTAAAGACAATGATAACCGAACAAACGAATTTTAAGACCTTAAAAACAAACTTTGATAAAGTTTTGGAGGGTGTCGTGGCTCATCCAGTTATTTCTTATTGAAAGTTTGTAAAGATAATTATTTAAAGATTTTAGTTCGAGCCCGTGTGAAGGCATCTAAGCCTGGAGAAAGCTTTTCACACTTCATAACTTGTGCGATCAGTTTCTCTTTCTAGTATACTTGTTTCAGCTTGTTATTTTGTATTTACGTCCCATAGTTTAAGATCGAAGAACATTTCACATCATCATCCATAAAAATAAAATTTTGGAATATTTAAAAATAAATAATCACCATCATAAAATTTAATAAAAATAGAAGTAGTAATAATGAAAAGCTTCACCCAAAATTTTGATGGAGCATTTTATTTTTCACTATAATTATTCTAACTTTATTATCAATTTATAATCCAAATTGTGTTAAAAAAGCAATTAAAAATAGATATTCATACTGTCATGCGAAGTCAATGTTGCACAGCACAGGGCTGAGTTTAAAATGGGTGTCCAGGTTTTTGGCAGGGCCAGGCAAGATGAAAAGTGGGATTATAAAATTTGTGTATATTTTATTTTATTTTCCATTACATTTGATCTGCTTCTGTAAAAAGAGGGCAAATCTGACAGAATCATTTTGATGTGCCTTCCCACTTACTTCTCATGAATGTAAAAGAAGCAAAAAGACTGCTCAGCCTCCCTCAGCACTTTGTGGATTGATTGACTCTCTACCCCTAATGGCCAATGGGAGAAGTAAAAATTATAAAGTAGGTAAAAAAAAAAAATCAATGTTTGCTAAATCATTTGAAGTGCCAAACTTAAGATTAAATGTTTCAAAGTGCTGCCCATCAACAAAACAGTTGAACTGTTGACACATCAATCTTCTTACTTATTCTTGATATATATATTTTTTTTTTTTTTTAGAAAGTTTTTAAAAAATCCAGTGGTAGTTCTATGCTTGGCTCCGGGGAATCCCTTTACATTCTTAATTTCTTTTTTAAGTAGCCTCATATTTTGAGCCCTCCTTTTAGATTTGAAAAGCTTATGCATCTAAAAAAAAAACAAAAAAAAAAAAACTAAATTTTCCATACCTAAGGTTTAGGTACCTCCACTTACTTGCTGAAAAAACAGCATCGTAGCTGCTCATACCTGATGAAAAAAAGGTCCCAAAACTAGGTACCTCCGCTTTTTCGCGGAAAACAGCATCTGCATAGCGTAATGAAAAAGGCCACAAACTTAATAAAAACAAAGTTTTATCGTCCAAAAGTAAAACTCAAAATGTTTTATGTTATTATTGAGATGAAAGAAAGACCAAAGTATTTTTTTGATTATTTTTTGAAATTTTTTATCCTTTCTAACACGTTCGAAATTTGTTTAAAATCTTGTTTTGTTTTTACGTCATCGCGGTGGCATAATTTTAATTACATTGACTTTTTTGCGCTTTTTTTCCGTTGAAAATACAATTATTTGGAAATTCTTTTAAAAATCATATAATTGCCTGATTTTAATGAAATTTCAGTATTCATTCACAAATGGATTAAATTAGTTGTGGAATTTTTTTTTTTTTTTAGAAAATTTTGGTAAAAATACTTTTTTTTATGTTACCCCCACACACACTTAATTTCCTAAAATTTCGCAAAAAAACCTTTCTATTTCCTGAATTTATTTTATTCATTAAAAATAGGACTCCTTTGAGAATGTAAATCACCGAACTTTTTTTCAAAGTTGCACTACTATTCTAACTGAAAATCTGCTCTGAATTGAAAAATAATGAATGCAATAAAACTATGACATTATTTAATTAGAAAAGCTTTTAATTGCTTTTGTAAATAAGTTATATTAAGGACACTATTATCTGAAAAAATAAAATTTTTCTGATGAATAATGAATTTTTACAAGAATTTTTTCATTTTTTTAAAAATTTTAATTATGATAATTTATAAAAGTTTAAAATCGTGTGAAATTCTGTATTGGACTATTTCCTGGATGTGATATAGTAATTAAGTGGAAACGAAATTTATTAATCCAAAATTGAAAAGATTAATAAATGTAGTTACACTATTCTATTTTTAAAATTATTTTTTATTTTTTTACTTAATTTGTTCCCTTTTTCATCTATGAAAGGCTAAAGGTGACATTATTATGAAAAGGTCACATGATCTAAATTTTGTCTCTTTACAGAGAAATTAATTTAAGAAAATTTTATAGAATTTTGAATTTTTTTATTTTTGCATAAAGCATCTTCGAAAAATAAATAAATGTCAATAAATTATAATTGCGGAAAATATGTTCATTTGTAAAAATTACTAAGTTGTTAAAATAAAAAAAAATACATTCACTTAGATTTTGTAAATTTTATGTTAATTCTAGTCAGCCATACTAGTTGTCATCGCTTCGCCACTCAGTTGTCCATCAATCATCGCTTCAGATAAACAGGGCTGATCAATAACAAATGGTTGCATAAGTTGTATATTACTTTTTTATGCTATAAGTAATATTTATTTCAAATCAGATTAATTTAACTTTAAATTTACTCAAATAACATGTCAGAAATATATATATATATATATATATATATATATATATATATATTGGGAGAGTTTTAAAATTGACAAGTTTGTTTTGTTTACAAATTTCTTAAAATCAAGAAAATGGCCACTTTTAAATTTGGCATTCCAATCTATATAATTTCTATCTGAAATACACCAGAATATCTTACTTACTGGAAATAATAAACTTAATCCTTTAGCTTTCAATTAAAGCTAAAATGAAATCTTCAAGAATGCTTTTTCATTTTTAAAAATTCATCCTAAACCTTAGGTATCAAAAATTTATGCCGAAAAATTGGAGGTACCTACCCAAAACATAATAAAAACAGTTTTATCATCAAAATGTTTGTTATTATTAAGAAGAAAGACCAAGTATATGTTTTAATCCTTTTGAGCATGTTCAAAATTTTGCTATAATAAAAATCTTGTTTTGTTTTTGTTTTTTGGTTTTTTACATTAGTGGTCGATGTAGTGTTTTTTGCAGTTTTTGCCCCTTTTTTTCAGTTGAAAAACACATTGATTTGGAAATTCTTGCAAAAATCAAATAATTGTCAGATTTTAATGAAACTTTCAGGACTTGTTCACAAGTTACCCCCCACCCTCACTTAATTGATTTCATTAAATTTTGAGAAATTAAATGGCAATCTCAAAATTTATTTTATTAGTTAAAAGCAAGACTCATTTTTTTTTGTTAAAAAGGACCCCCAGTTACGGTAAATCTGCTCTGAATCATAAAATAAAAAAAATGCAATAAAACTGACATTATTTAATTAGAAAAACTTTTAATTGCTTTTAAATAAGATTTATTAAGGATGCTATATTGTCTTCAGAAACAATTTTTTTCAATGAATAATGAATTTTTACAAGAATTTTCATTTTAACATTTTAATTATAATAATTTGTATAAATCGCTTAAAAATATGGTCAACCATACACAACATAATCAGAAAATAAGAGCAAAGACTATAGTAAATTTAAATTCAACATTCCTAAAATTAGATTATGGAGAATATTTTCCAACATTTTTAAGGTTACTGAGTACTTAAAAATTATAAAAAAAAGCATCACCCATCATTTTCTTAAATTACATTTTAACAGATAAAATCACCATAGAACAATAAATAAATCTGTCAACACCTTATCAATGCCTGATATTGTTAAGTGATCTACGATTGAGAAGCATCAGGGATAAATGCATAATCACCACTACTGTTTTAAAAATATTTTTTTCTGTTATTTTAAACTTAAAGTAAATTGTATTTTTTTTTTTCAAATCAGATTAATTATACTTTAAATCAGCTAATATTCCTCAAATAAAGTTTTGGAAAAGTATGTTTTATTTTTGGAAGATTTTTAAAATCAAGAATTAGCTTTTGTTTATAATGTGTCAAAAATGTCTGATATTTATCAATTCAAATTTTTTAATTTTTTTTCTGAAAGCTTCAAGAATGCTTTTTCATTTTTAAAAATTCATTTTAAACCATACATATCAAAATTGAGTAGAGATGCTTACTAAGGTTTAAAATTAATTTTTAAAAATGAAAAAGCTTTCTTTTTAGCTTTAATTTTACTTAATTTTGTTCAATGAATGTTGGTTTATGATACATATATAACTCTGTGTGAGTTATTAGTACATCCTGGAAGGCCAGTTGCTTTTCTACTTTTTTTCCATTGTGATCTATTAGAAAGGTCTTATTGAATTCGTGGTCCAGTAGTATTTGTTCATCTTTTTGGTGGAGCCAGAATATGAAGGTATCATCTATATACCTAAAGGCATAACAATTACAAAGATAATGTTTTGTCAAAAGACTAAAAACAATGGTTGAGCTAGGTCTTTTTGGAAGATAATGTTTTTAAGGTAAGCAGTCTTTGTAACTATAATGCTCGATATCAAGAGATAGAGCATTAATCTGCAAAACTCAGTGTAGAGACAAGTTAAATGAATATTTAATTTTATTTATTACTATCTAGAGGGATATCTCAAAAATTCTTAAATAAGGTAAATCAGTGTTTGATATGAAGAAATCATTTGAAGCACTAAGCTTAACAAACTTGATTTTTAACATTAGGAAAGCTTTAAAATAATCTTTCAGCTAGATCTTTTACATACTAATAACTGGTAGTCATGTTTTCACTTCATTCAGGGTTAACAGTCAACCTTGAAAACAGAGAAATTAGGGAATTGAAAAATAGTTGCATTTTTAAAGAAAAATGAAGAATATATCAGGGAATTTTTGCCAGGAATTCCATCAGAAATTGTCCAATGTTCATTTCTGATGAAAAGTACAATAGATAGAGTCCAAGCTTTCAACTTAGGTCATGATTAGGGTATGTAGAGAACATGTCACATTTTGCTTATGTTACGACACACTTTGCCTATATCACAACACTCGCTAGTTCTACAAAACTTACGAATTGTCTCTACTTATTCTGATGATGAATTGATAAAGTCAAAAGCTTGGACCATATTTCTTGTACTTGTTTTTCTGTAGTGAACTTAACACAATTTCTGACAGATTTTTCTCCTTGTCTGAGAAAGATCATTCGTAATTTGGAAAAGTCGATCATTAAAATTAATCTACACAAAATATCTGTTGTCTTTAATAGTATATATATAATTAAAATAGAAGTAAAGACGCTCAATACTTATTGGTCAACTCAGAGTTTAATTATTTTCAATCACTCATTAGGACTCTCAGCAAGAATGATTGTATTGATTAAAGAATCTATTTTATAGATGCAACATTATTATTTTTATTTTGTTATAACAATTCAAGTTCTAAAATCTATCTGGAAATGTTTCTATTAAAAAAATATCAGATTATTCTTAAATTATTGCCTAATTATACTTTTTATCTAATTCATTTCAATTGATTAAAATTACTCAAGAAACTGACAAATTAGGCAAATTAAAGGGAGATAACTCTAAAACTATTTTAATTGCAGAGCGCAACTACAGTAAAGAATTAAATTATTATCAGTTCTATGTTTATAATCATTTTAAACCTTAACTTTATCATAATTTTATAAATATCTATTTTTCAGCTTTCAGGATTATGGCCTTAGTAACCTGTTTGTAATTGGTTATCTTTATTGGATGACATAATTGTTTTACTTGATCTTCTGTCTAAATCTATTTAAAATAAAAGGGTAATATTTTTTTTTCTCTTGAAGTTAGAAAGAAAAATATTTTTGATTCTTATCTTAACAGTTGCACTTAATTCTAACCAGATATTTCTAATAGAAAATCACAATTATTGAATAGTCAGTGAAGACTGAATCCACAATGGCTTGTAAGACCCACATACTACACACTGCACACTATTTTGCTTTTTATTATATGAAAATTGCTTGTAATCCCAACATGCATTTTACTACACTATATGTACAGCTATATTTTGTTGATTATATAAGTGGATCAAGATAAATATTTTCAAGGTAAAACTAACATAGTTTTCTTGTAGAAATCACAAGCTTATATGTATATTAATAGATTTTGAAAGATAAATCAGCAAATTCCATACTTATCTGAGAATTACAATCAAATAATTTTAGGCTAAAATATATCATTTAATGATAACGCATGATAATTCTCCCCAAACTCATTGGTGCAAAAAAAGTAAGAACATTATTTTTTGCCTGTTGTCTGTCATCATAGAAATCTATCAGCAAACTTCTGGTTTCCATTGATAAATGCAAGAAAAGAGATGTATTATCAAAAATACAAAGATCCTGAAAAACTAATTTGCAATCATAAAAGGATTTTATAAATACACTTGTTAACTGTTTTTGTTAGGTGACTTTCAAGAGGTTTATTTACAGTGTTAAAATAAGGATGTTATTTCTCATAAAACAATCCAATAACTTCACATATCTAGTTCCTGAATAAGCTATCACAAATGTCTGTACTGATAATATCATTTGTATATTAGATTTTACCTAAGAAATAAATTTCTCACTCATATAAACACATATCAACACATCATTCCAGCATCAAGAATAGAATATTTTATGCAAAAATCACAGATATAACAGTAAATGTCATTTCAATCATGTATTATGTTTTTGAGGCACTTCTGGTCAAATGTGTGGGTTTCTCTGTTGTGCAGCGTTGTCCACCAAAATCAAACCTATGCAAATGTCTTCATCAAACTTTGCTTTCTTCTCCTCTGTGACTCCTGCTCACAATTCTTCTGGACTAGGCCGAGCCTTCACAGCTATCTCCACCATTGCCACCAGGGGGAGAAAGGTAATAGGGGTACAAAGGATGACAATCCCAATGCAAGTGGGTGCCTACATACTTTATATTTTCAGTGAAGAAAGGTTCCTTTTTTATTTTTTTTTAATTATGCTATATAATCAATTATTATTTTCTTTGGTGAATATATTAAACTTTGCCTACTTAACATATCAGACTTAAACCCAGACTAAATGACTAAATTTTATTTGGAAGTACCAAGAATATTGAAGTTAAAAAAATTATTATGCATGAGGTCTCATATTAAGTGATAAACCTCAGTTCTAGTAAGTATATCTTGTTCGTTAAAAAAAATTTTCTTTTTTCCAGAACATTAAAGTTTAAAAATTATCCAGTAGAAAATTAAATACAATATTCTTAGAAATTAAATAATTTTTAGAAAATATGGCTGTGTTACATTAAGATAAAAGTGAAAATTTTAATACACTTGTATTAATTATTTTTGCCTATTTTAACTTTTAATTTACCCAATTTATAAAGTGCATCTAAATAATATATAAAATGTATATTTTTTACTTAAATATATATGAAGTATACTTATAGGCATATGTGATAATGAATATTTTCTTGCTATGTATGCTATATATAATAATCAAGGAAAACAGCTTAAAGGTAAGTTTATAGTATATATTAAAATAATTGGACATATTTATAGTACTTTGAAAACTTTGATAATATTAAGTTACTAGAATTAACAACTAAAAAATTTTATTCCAAAATTTTGTTAAATATGCTGTCAATCTATTAATTCCTAATTTTATTAAATTTTAGGTGTAAACATGTTGGCCTGAAGACAACATGATAAAAAGTAAGTACTTTTTTATTTATTTATTTTTTTAAATATAATTTACCAGCAAAAAGGTTGTGGGTGAAAAAAAAAGAGATGAGTTATTACACATAGACTTTACCTTGAATTAGTCTGAAGCAAGGTGATACCTATATATATATATATATATATATATATATATATATATATATATATATATATATAAATGCCTTGGTCTGAAGAAAAAATAAAGCAAGAACATACAAACTCATAGATTCTTATATGAAAAATTTTGTTGCATGTTATTTTCAGACATGTATTGCAATGAAATAGATATGAATTATTATACTCCTCCTCCTCTTTATGTGTGTGAGAAAGAAATGTTTCTTTTTGGATACAGAAAAATATACTTGTATTACAAATATTTATATAAACCAAGCTAAGTATGCCAATGGCTAGATGAGAAAATAGAAGTAGGCAGATTATGTTTTAAATAGAGAGGACCTGCCTGCTTTGAAATTCTGTCTTTTAACTCAGATACCAACCTCTCAAATGTCATATGCTTTTGGCATAGTGTAACAGAGAGGGAGAGCACCCCACTATCACCACCAGGTGGGTTTATTAATCAATGGTTCTAAAGGATTAGGAAGAAGGTACTAATTAGTTGGGTAGAAGGGATTCTGGATTAATTCCAGAAATAAGTTTTTCTTTTTACTTAGTTGTTTCTGGGATTGAATTATTAATTAACTAGGTGAATTAATTCCAAAGTAATTAATGGACGGTTCGTTAGGTAAAGCTTGTGATAAATGGTGAATTGGATTTTGGGTGGTCTGCCAGGCAAAATCCAGCCAGAGCCCTCAGACAAGATAAGTGCTTTTCGCTGGCCTTAAGTGGACGTTGTCTGCGGAAAACCCAGCAGGGAGTCCAAATCTGATTTTAGTACCTCTTGAAAACTGGATTCCTGCAGAGCTTCGGAGATCCAGCGGAAGATACATGGTGGTCCAGGCGATTTGCATATTAAAATTTGTGGGCGGTGCGCGCTTGAGTTGGGCAGATGAGATTGGAGATCAGATCGGATAGGATCGAAGAACGTGTCAGAACGCAAGAGAAGTAGCAGACGCGGCAGTGAGAGAGATCGCAGATCAGAGAACGCAACGGAAAACACAGCAGAAACAGCTTAGTGGGTCTTGCTGATCTGGTCAGTTGCATGCGTCAAAAAGTTTGAATTGTACCAAGAGATAGAAATCAAACCCATGCGAATCCAGATAACTTCGTCAACAAAGCTGAGAAAAGCTGACTGTTATATCGGAGGGGGCGGACAAAGAAGCACGACTTATCTCCCTTAGTACAGCCGAATTTCAACCGGCATAATTGTGTCTTTCTCTCTCTGTGATGTTCCGACCCAAATGAGTGAATCTTGTTAAGACAGCTTGTATTTGTGCAATTTCTTTGGTAGTGATATAAAAATAGTAGCCTTAAAGGGCTCTTTGTACAGGAACCGAAAGTGTTGCTTATTTTTTCCTTTTTTTGTGCTCTTGCTGTTACAACAAGAGCCTCTCTGCACAAATAGTGATTTCTTTCAGCGTGGAGCCCAGCCATTTAATTCATCCTACCTCCAGATCGTTCTGAGGGATCGAAATACTGCTGTTCGGATCAAAAATTCACAATGTGGCAGATAGTGGTGGTTCCTTCAGTTCACTGGAGGATGACTGGGTGGTTTACTTTTTGGCCAGAACCACCGGAGAGACAGGACAGAGCTGTAGCCAGCAGGGCTTCTACGTCAGAATAGAATGACATTAAAAAAAACTTGAATTTCTTTTACACCTTAGTGATTAAAATAATTTCACATGTACTTCTGCAAATTATTACAAAATTATGATGTTATGATTATAGTTTATTGATACCATAATTGCTATGGCTTTATTTTCACTTTTCATTATTTTGATTTTAATAAAATGTTATTGAAATAATTTCTTTTTCATACTTCAGAGTTTTTGTTGATGTTTCCAGTTTTCAGATTGTAGACACTGCTTTAAATACTTTTCCTAAAAATCCCTTAATCGGATTTGAACTTAACTTAATTTTATACTTAGTATACTTACCAGACGGAATGTGGTCAGTTCCCACTACCACTCATATGGGCAGGAGCTGCCCAGTCTTCACTTTCCAGTCACCATACAGTCCAAAAGCATCTCTACATCCTTGTGGGTGACAAATTATTTTTCCACTCTACAACCCCCTTCTCACAGATGAAACATTGCAAACCTCTCACTATTTCCATGGAAAGTGGTCAGATGAACTTGGTTCCTCCAGATATTACCTTCACACCTAGTGAACCATCCTCATTCTCTTTGTATTCCATTGGTGAGATTAAGTTCTACTTGAGCAGCTTCTTCCCATGAGCTGCTACTCTGTGAAACCAATTCCCAAGTGGATGCTTCCCCAATCACTACAATCTTAACCTTTTCAAGTCTGGTGTTAATCATTATCTTCCCTAGATATCTGCATAAACTATGCCTCTTACTCTGTAATCCTCTACCTTGAATGGCTCCCAGCTCTTATACAATGTGAATATCATTGTAAAAAAAATATATATATAAAAATATTTCTAGCATTGATTTTATATACGTCTATTTTCATGTTAGGTTATCTTATGTTTTTATTTTACAGCATATTGAAATGCTGATTTCTATTTAATTATATAAACATAAATTTTTTAAAAATGCTTGTTATTCAATCATCTAAAATTTCCTTTCTGATTGTCATCCTCCAAGCAGGGCATTACAAAATAAAAAGTGGCGGGATTAAATCAGAAGTTATATGTGTGTGTGTGTGGTGGTGGGGTAAATCAGATATTATGATTTAAAGGTTTCTAATTTTATATTTTTTATCTCATCCTTTTATTGTCCTCTCTCCTTAATAAAGTTTTTTTCACATTCACTAACTGCTTGCATCTTAGTAGCTTTATCACCTTGCTTGGAGTGAAATAATTAAAAAAAAAAAGAAGCTTCTGACTGATGCTGAAAATTGTTAGAGCCATACTGAATTTGCTTGATGCTGTATTCTTCTGATTTTATGTTATTTTTATTGTATTGTTCTTCAATGTACAATTTTCTAGAATACATTTATCAATTATGGATATTGTAATTTCAGGACCTAAGACTCCACAGAGAACAGCTTTGGTAAGTACAATCATTCATTGCATTTTGAGATCAAATAAAGTGTTCATTTATTTGGATTTATCTGGTGTTCACAATATTTGGATATTCTCGTATTTAAATTTAATTATCATATTACCCTTTAGACAATAAATTTTAGCAGTTTAGTAATTACAATTAAAGCATCATCTGAGAGTGAAATGGGGGAAAAAAGATTTCTGGTATTTTTATTTTTGTGTTGTTTCTCACACACGTTATCATTTGAATCCCGCATAAGCAAACTATAATTATGATACACTTACACACACAAATGCTGTTTGACTAGTCAAAAGCACATGAATTCTGCTTAACCAATGAAAATCAAACAACACAAAAATAAAAACACCAGATTTTTTCTACCTCTCTTTCTTTGAAGCTTTAATAAAAGCAAAAAATGTTAAATTTATAACATTTCCTATTTGTTATTTATCCTATTATCTATCTATCTATCTATATATATATATATATATATATATATATATATATATGAGTTAAAATCAAATGTAGATTGTAATTTTACAGGATGATAAGATAAAGAACAAATTTATAAATCTATCATGCTTCACTTTTTTATTAAAGCTTCACCAGAGATTGAGAGAAAACAGGTAAAAAAACAGAACTTTGGTCTTTTCATTTTTGTTTGGGTCAATTTTCATTGGTCAGTCATGAAAGAACTAGAGAATTTAGAACAGCTGAAGTTTTGTTTATTATTTTTGTTTTTGTGTGAGTTTGTGTATGTCTGTGTGCTCTATTTATTCAAAGCTCACCACTATTGAAAAGAATTAAGAATTTTTTTATTTTAAGTTGTTCTTAGAATGAATATAATAAAATTTTAACTAAAAATTATTGTATCTTTCCAAAAAACCCAACCACTCATCCCAAATGTATCTTCTGCCAATTCCATTATGTATGTATGTATGTATGTATATATATATATATATATATATCCTACACCCTCTCTTCTCACACACTCCTGTCTCTTCTTCCTCTCTCAGTCGCTAGATTTGTTGAGTAATACTGACCTTACTCTGCTATCTTTTGCCTCCTTGGTTTGAGCTGGTGTATCATTCAATGGGGTTGATTCAGTTTTTCCAAAATCTGTGGACTCCTCTATGTATGTTGTGTACTGTAGTTGAGAAGGAATAATCCTCAACAAGGCTGTGGTAATTTTTGTTTCTTTGTGCCCAAGGGCAACTTCAGTGTCAGGCTGGAACAAGAAATCCTTCAATAGAATGCACAACACTGCTGATGTTTATTGAATATGAAAGAAGACTGGTTGAATAAAATGTCTCAATTATCTACTGAGAAATCAAGTTCACTACTGTCAGATGGTGATTTGAGGAATCTTGTAAAAAGCAAAAGCAGTACTCAATTCTTCTGTCAAACGTGTGTCTGTATTTTTGTTCTAACCATGGGAATTGCAGGTGTGTTCTTTAGTGATGACTGTCTTATAAGCATCTCTAAGCTGACTTCCTCTAGGGCAGGCATGTCAAACAGAGGGTCTCCTGAGGGCCATATGGTTACATATGTGTTGCCACGAGAGCCACACATGACAACCAATTGTTCACATTATAACTAATTGGAGTAATTTAATAAAATTTATTGCAGAATATTTTTGTTACTTAAATTTAGAGATGCACAATCTCCATACAAATGTTTTAGCAGGATTCATGTATACAAAGTAATGAAGTAGTATGATAAAAAAAAATGAAATTTTAAACAACAGCATATACTTGCAGTTTGCAACAGCAACAAATACATTGTACAAAAATTACAACACTTCAAAATTGAACATTTATTTGTCACCATTCAGTCAGTTTTAATTTTAGTTTTTTGTCCTGATGTTTGGCACCTCTTTTTGCTGACAATTTTTGGTATATCTGGCTGAAACGTCTGTGCTGTTCTGACTTTGATCAGTTATCCTTGTTCTCTGAGAGGTTTTTGTTGATTTCATGAAGGAAAGTAACTGTTCACACACATAGGTAGAACCAAACATTGCCATAATCTTTGCAGCAAACTTTCTGAAGTTTTTAAACTTTTCAGAATGGTATGAAAAGAACCCAGATATTCCTACTTCAAGATACTTTGCTCTGAGTGTAGAATCCAACTGCATTTCTAATAGTTCCATCTGCAGGCTTTCTTCTGTTTTGGCAACATTAAAGGTAAATGGTACTGAGAATAATGCAAACTGATGTTCAAAAGATGAGAAATCACTAAATCTTTTGTGAAATTTCTTTGACAAAAATTCCAGGTAACTGTCATACTTAGCAAAGCTAAGTACAGTCTCTGTATTGCTAGTGTTTTTCAGCTCTTTGCATGTAGAAAAATGAATTAAGTTTTCATTTGACAACTGTGACTTCCATAAGCTTAGTTTTGTAATAAAGCACTTGATATCATCATACAATTGAGTGAGAGTTTGTTTTTTACCTTGTACTTTAAGATCAGTTAATTGTGCAGTAATATCCACAGCAAAAGCCAGATCTTGGGGCCAACTTTCATTTTTTATTTCATCTGTGTTTTGATCTTTCATCTCTAAAAACATAATCATTACTTGTCTTAACAAATAGAATACTTTGTGACATGACAACCAGCAGACTTCTGTGTAGAATGGAACATTGATGAACTGATTATCCATATCTTCCAGCAACTGACTAAAATTATGGTGGTTGAGAGCATGGCCTCTGATATAGTTCATTGTGACCAAGCTAAATACATGATTCAATTTTAAAATCTTTGAACACAAATTTTGCTGATGAATAATATAGTGAAAATGTGCAAATGATGAATCTGGATATGATTTTTCTAGTTTTCTTTGTGACTTGGCAGTAACACCATTATATTTGCCAACCATATCCACAACACAGTCAGTAGATAAGCATGCAAGTTTACTCAAGACTATACTCATGCAAAACAGAGATGTCCTGACTTGTCATAGTGTCATGCATGAGGACCAGTTCAATTAGTTCTTTATAAATATTAAATTCACTGTCACAGGCCCTGATGAAGATTGTATGCTGTTGTATTCTAGTGATGTCAACAGTCTCAGCAATAGAAAAATGTTTAAACCTTGATGATACAGCCTTCAACTGTTGTTTCAAGTCACCTAACATTTCATCAATTTGTTCAGCAACAGTGTTCCTGGTTAATGAAATGTCTTTGAATAAGTGTGTTTTCTCTAGACATACAATGTCAGCTTTTTTTTACAAAATTTACGAAATCTCCTTCACTGTGATTTCTCACTTACAGTTATGATTTGGCTGAGTTCATACATTGCAATAACAGAAGCAACATTCTGTTTTGTAAAAAATGTCTGTTGCTGTAGCAAGTTAGCTTTCAATTCCTTGAGTTTTGAAATGCACATTGGGTCTATATATTTATCATAAGATAGATGGTTCATTTCATAATGTCTTTTCAGATTGTACTCTTTTGTAAATTAAATAATCTATCTTTTCATTCACTGTTGTGCAAAAATACTGTAATTCCCACTTTTCTTGAAACACTTGCTTTTCTCCATTCAGTTTCCTTTTTCTCTTAGCTGGAAGAGCACTAGCCATTTTAGGGTTGAAGTAGTAGAAAAAAAACTAATTTTCAAAATTGATTATGCAGAATTTGAAAAATTACTGGTACATTTAAACTAGAGCTAATGGTAAATAGAGATAAAGCAATTTTGCTAACACCTCTAAAAGTTTTTTTGATTGACATTTCACCTTTAAAAACAAAAACTTGTGAAATTTTGAAAGAAAATTTTCTGTTTGTTATAGAGGTGCCATATTGTTTTCATGGTGTTATGGCTGATAGCATGTCTACTAGAGAGAATTTGTAGTGGAACTGAAAAGCAGCAGTTTGTGGGTTCTGCTGAACTGACTACAGTTTGCCATACTAAGAGGCAACGAGTGGCATGCGTAATATGTAAGCAGAATAGTGGACGCTTATGCAAATGTAGCAATAGTCCTTGGCAAAATGAAATACTGGACGAACGAGGAAAGAAAAGAATGGCATACCTTGGAAACGTCTACAAATCTGTGCGCCATGTAAAGTCCAGTTGCTCAATGGCGAAAAAATAATCAAAATGACGGTGCCCATGTTTTATGACAGGTGGTCTCGGACGACTAACGCAAAATCTTGTTGGCTAGTGATTCGTATGTAAATTATGGTCGGTTCTCAGCTGTATAAAGCAAGCCATCTTTTGGGAGAGACAGAGGCATTCTTGTTGGCAAGAAGCAAAGGCTGGGTGTGTGACCCAATTTTGCCATCTCTATGTGGCCTGTTGGATTGTTACGTCGGAAAGATGTTGAACTGGATTTTGGCTACAAGTGTTGTGGTTGAGAGACGAATCTGTTGCAGACTTATTCCTACCGGAAATTGACACTCATTATTTGTTTTCTTTTGCTTTTTCTTTTCTTTACCAACACAGAATTTGTTCCAGCTCTATTTTCTCAGCCACCAAGAATATTGAATATTTGCTATGATTTTTTAAATAATAACTTAGTACCATATTAACTTAAAATTTTTCAATAATATTAAAATTATTTTAAATAAATTTATGCAGTAAATGGTATTCTTATTTTTATTCTATTAAAATAAATGAAAATATAAAAAACATGATGTATTTTCTTAAATACTCTAAATTCTAAAAACTGCAATTTTGGCCATTAAATGACCAAATTAGTATCCTTTATGTGAACCACAGGGGTGCTTGTAAAAGGGACGCATGATTGACATGCCTGCTCTAGAGCCTGTCTGTGTCTCTGTGTGTCTTTGGGCCTGGTGAGCTCTCACTTATATAGACATGAAAAAAGAAAAAAATTTGACATTGATATATTTAATTTCTCCACTCTGTCTTAATCTTAAGTGGTCTTGTTGATATTCATATAGTACTTTCTTTGTTTAGAATCTTCCTAGATATCTTTTTGTAAAGATAATGGGTGTTTTGGGCAACACATTAATCATGACTTCTTATTGGCAAGAAGTGGGTAGGGTGTGTAACCCTGGTTTTACTCAATTTTACTGAATCTTTGCTAGTTAATTCTGGGTTCGATTCTCCTTTGGAAATATTCTTAAATTCATTTTATTATTTTAAAACATAATTTTGAACCCATCCCATTTTTCTTTTCATTTTTTTTTCAACCATTCAACCTACTCTCCTGAGAATTTTAATAATTATTATGCAATTAGTAGTCCCTCCAAATCACCAGCCTGTAATTTCATGCAATTAAACATTTAAACAGGGATCATTGCTCTGTTACATATGTGTATATATACACACATATTTTTGTCTGTAATTTATGTCAAACATAGGGATAAGATTTGTATAATAAAATTAAATATTATTCAGTTAGATTCTGTGATAATATGTGCATATAGAAATTACTAGCAGTAGAGCCCGGCATTGCCCGGGGATGTAACAGTAAGAGATAGATAAAGTATCGACCATCATAAAGACTGAAAAATAAAATTGACAAAGATTATTGTTTAAGGTTGACGGACACACGTCTTAATTAGTTTTTTTTTTTTTTTATGACTTTGGTCAAACCCAAACTCAAACAAAAGCATTGTTTTCAATCGTTATGAGTCTACCGATTGAATAGAATTTTATTATAAACAATTGTCTTGTAAATGGAATTTTTAAAACATTCTGAATGTAAAAATAAAGAAAAAGTGTGCAAGACAATAAGAAACACTCTCTGCCAAAAAAAAGTGAAGTTTTGTTGAAATCGGTTGAAAAATGTAGGAAATCTGATCCCATATATAAACGAACACACACACACACACACACACACACAACCTGGGTTTTATAAGTATAACTCGATATGAGTTGTCCCCCTTTCATTCTCAACAGCGATGCCTCTTAATTGTGTTTTCAAATTGATTTCATGCAAAAACAATTGTGTTTTTCTAATTTTTGGCGCTGTCAGAACCACCGCAAGGTAATTTTACGTAGTCCTGTGAATTTTTTTTTAAATTGGTTGAAAAATGTAGGAAATCCAATCCAATATATAAACGAACAGACACACACACACACACACACACACACACACACACACAACTTGGGTTTTATAATAAGTATGATATATAACTATTCATTTTATTCCTCAGGCTGTTAGGAGAAAGAAGCCCAGTCATCAGTAAGTATAACGTTTTATCTTTTTTTTTCAGGGCTGAGAGTAGTTAATGGAGCTCTTATACTAATTCTGGTATTATGTCTTTATGTAAACTTAATATTTATGCAACCAGCTAATATACAAAGATTGCTTTGTAGATTTTATACATGACATAAAAAACTTTTAGACAAAGTATTCAGTTCTTGGCATACATAATCTATTCTAACAATTAAAAAGTACCACGATTTAAATTCTGTATAAACAGAGAAAAAGATTCATGAATCTTTCTTAGTCAACACTTATCTAAAGAAAGTTTATAGACTATTTTTTATAACTTTTGTATAACATGAAAATGGGTGTTTGGAACCATATATGTATCTATATTTTATTGGGTTGTAATGAGTGCCTTAATAGAAATTTACATTTCTTTTTGTTTTTTGTTTTTTTTTTTAGAGAGGATGATTTTTATGCTAATATGGCAGCCATGTCAGATGATGATATGGAATCTGACATATCCGAAGCTGATGTCGATCTAGTGGCCAAGTCCTTAGATGTAAGCTGTTTTTTTTTTTCTTGGTTCTTCTGTAAAGAATGTTCTATATTTTCATTTCAATCACTCAGCACCAAACAAGCCTGTATTATAGTTTTGTGCCACTGACCCTTTGAATCTACATCAAGCCTTTCCCACTTGTAGAAATGAATTTAGATGACATATGTGCGACATAAAAGGTAAATTGTTGGCATGAGAATAATGGGATATAGACAAGATTTAAAACCATTTGACCATAGAAAGATTGTTAGAGCCAGAAAAATGGAGTAATCTATCTCTGAAGTGACAATTGTTCTAGGTTTTATTATTTTGTGTGTTTTTTTTTGTTTTTTTTTTGTGGGTGAGGGATGCAAGAGTAGTATGGATATATGAGAAATAGGTGAATTCTGGACTGACATGAGTGGTATGTGAAAACTGCAGACATGCTAAATTCAACAGCTATTTTATTCAAATTGTTCCAGCAAGATATTTATTCAAAACATTAAAACTGTTAAAAACATTTAACATTTTAATTAATGCTTCAAATGTGTTGCCAATAAAAAATAGTTGCTCATTTAAATTTCTTTCATGATGTTTTAGAATATTTTTTTTACTTTTGATAGGATTGATTTTGGTTTGGATTTTATTGGCAGGATCTTGATGACATGGATGCCAATCTGTTTGGAGGCCACAAAAAGAACACTGAGAAGCCTTTGACAAAGGCAGTGACAAGTCCTCGTCGTACAGCAGGAACAAGCAGATCTTTGTCACCTCCAACTAGAACTGGAATTACTACTGCAAGCAGCAGTAATTCAGTTCCCAAAACAACTAAAGAGGCTGAAGAAAAGATGGGTCCAGCAGAGAAGACAAAACCTTCTGGTACACTGATATTTTCTCTCTCATATATATATATATATATATATATATATATATATATAATGAAATGGACAAAGTCCGACAATTATTTTTAAGACATTTTTATGTTTATACATTCTTTTTATAGATACAAATATTTAAGTAAATGCTCTGTTTATAATAAACAGTATTAAACAACATTTTCCGGCCTGAATGTCCAAGAAATTTTCAAACCTGTATCTTGTACGGAACTGTCATTTAGCCTGACGTGCTCTTAACTGATTAACTCTGTGACTTGATCGGTTAAGAGCACGTCAGACTAATTGATGGTTCTATATAGGATACAGGTTCAAATCCTGTCGGAGGACGAATATTTTCTATGAAAATTTCTTGGACATTCAGGCTGGTAAATGTTTAATACTGTTTATTATAAACAGAGCATTTATTTAAATATTTGTATCTATAAAAAGAATGTATAAGCATAAAAACGTCTTAAAATATATATAATGGATCAATAAATTTGTAGCCAGAAATATAGTTAGTTAGGTACCTCCATAGAAAACATGATACCTAATGTTTAAAATGATTTTTTTTAAAATTTTTCTTAAAGCTTTTATTTTAGTTTTAATTTAAAGCTAATAGATTAAATTTAATATTTTTAATAAGCAAAATACTTTGCTGTATTTCAAAACTAATTTTAATTTTTTTTTTTTTTTTTTGCTAAAATAGCTGATTAGTGCCTTTTAGTTTTTTTTTTTTTCATCTTTATTAAAAAAAATCCTCCAAAAATAAAATATACTTTTCTGAAACTTTGAAAAATATTAGCTGATTTAAAGTTTAATTAATCTGATTTGAAAAAAAATATCACTTACATTAAGTTTGAAATATTGCAGAAATGCATTTTTTAAGCACAGCAGTAGCTCCCTGATATATTGAGATTAGCTGTCACAGATATTTGATTTTACACCTTATATCATTAATTTGTTTTACACACAGCCAACAAATCAATAAGTATCGTATTGAGTTCTATAAACCAGCAAAACCTTTTCTGATTTTGGTGTAAATTTTAGTAACCAAATTTGTAAGTTTGCTATTTGCAACCAAAATTTGTAAATTTGCTATTTGCTTTTATTTAAATCTGTATTATAAAAAAAATTATTATTTTATTTTTTATTATTATAATAAAAATTTTATTTATTTTATTTTTTATCATAAAAATTTTATTATTACACAAATTTGTCATAAAGCTTCAAACTTTAAAAAATTAATAATTGGTTATTTGCAGTTGAAGATGATATTGATTTATCAGGACTTTTGTCCGATGATGACAGCTCATTCCTACCAAAAGAAACTCTGGAACCAGCATCAAAGAAATTTTCAGTTGCTGCCAAGTCTTCTACAACTGAACCTTCATCCATTCCAAAGTCACCTCCATCTACTAAACAAGCAACATCAGTGATAAATGCCAAAGAAGCTACAAGTAATCATTTTTTTTTGTTTTGTTTTGTTTTTTCTTAGTGCTCAAACACTTAGTCACTTACATGTTTTTCTTAGTATTTTCAAAGGATCACTGTTCTTGAAATATTTTTTTGTTTTTGTACTGATCATTAATACTGTTACTTTAACTCAATAAGAAATATTGGTTAATATTTTCAGTTTGTCTTGTGTGCTTTATTTACTTTATTTCAAGCTCTAGCTAATGACATACATTAGGGAATTTTTTTGCATTTTTTACCTTCCTGGCGTAATGATATATTAATAATGTCTGATAAAAATACAAAACTTTTCATGTGTAACATAATTATTTATTCACTTCTGTACTCCATCAAATTAATATTGGCTGTGGAGGGTATGTGGTTTGGGGACTTTCTTCAAACTTTTGATCTTCTTGCAAGAGTCAGAGTAGGTCAGGTATTTATTTCTGAATACAGTCTATTCAGAATTTCTCTTTTTAATAGGAATTTTTTTTCTCTTTAACAGCCAAAGATGATTCTGATTTAGCAGGATTGTTTTCAGATGATGAGAGTCTTCTGTTGCCAACAACAGGAAAAGATCAGAACAATACATCCAATCAAAACCCAGCTTCATCTACAAAACCTCCATTGTCCGGAAAGTCACAAGAAAATATAAATTCTGTTGCAAAAGAAACAAAAGGTAAATTGACTTTCGAAAAATGTTTTATGTGTTTTAATTTTATATACACTCTAGGTCAAAGGTTTGTAGCCAACCTCTGAATTTTGAAGAATCCCCTAAAAATTGAAAGTTTCATGCCTTCTATTAATTTACTATCTCACTTCGGGCCAGAGGGACTTTCTCTTATTCAAGGGTTTTATCATATATTCAGTAATAACAAAATTAACCCATTACTGCATATAGTTTCCTTAAAACTATAATTTTTTTTGCCTAATCCTACCTTTGCTGGATAATGGTAATCTTAGGGCTAGCAGATTTAAAATTTTAGGTAATCTTCTTTCTAAAAAGATTTGGATGCCATGCATTAATAGTTTCAGCATCTTAGCAGCAGTTAATTAAACCAAAGAAAGTTTGAAAATTTCTCTTATGTGCTGTGTCCCTTCAGGACATAGGCATCTTCCTGTCCCTTGTAGCTCTTAATAAGTTTTATCTTTTTGTTATTTCTCCCAAACCCTGTTTTACTATCCATTTACTCAAGCTCATCAATTATGTTTCATGCTGCTTTCCTCTGTCTCTCTTTACTGTGAGTATCAGGTTTTCCAAGCCCTCCTTCTTCATAATGTGTTATAGTGGAACACACCTATTCTATTGTTAATAGACTCTCCCACCTATAATAAGTAGGAGTAGTAAGAGTAACAAGTCAGTCGCTCAGTGGATCGGTCAGTCAGTCGATGCAGGATGACCGTTAGTCGGATACTAAAATATCAGCGACCACAACTAGATTTCTCTGCGTCATTACCTATTATATCAAGTTCCTAACGTTTTGTACGTCGAACCTATTTTAGGACCAATTTAGTACAAATACAAGCCTCCACTATGAAACCACTCCATAACATAATGTGCCCTAGAAATTTCAACTGCCTCTTCCTGATGTTACGTATAAGTTTTCCTTTTGTTTCCATTTTCTCTAAAACCTTGTTGCTCACATGTTTGGTCCATGGTATCCTCAGAAATCCAGAGAATGGCACCAGTGTATATATTATGCATGAATTTTTAACTGGTTTCATATTTCAAAACATTCTTTACTGAAATTTCTAATTTGTTAAAACTAACTCCAGTTTTAATTTTCTATAAATATCAATATATTATACATTGTTACTATGTGTATATTTCATAATAATATATGTTAATATCTGTATTGCCTATTAATTTTTATCTCCTGTAATCTTGGCAGTTCAGTATCACCTTTTTATTTTATAAGTAAACAAATAAAACAGGAGTGGAAGATAAACACCAGTTGTGAAAATTGAATTGATGTGAAATATTAAATGTTTTTTTAATGTTTAGAATCACCTGTGAAGAAAGCTGTGACATTCAGCAAAGATGGTGATATTTTTGATGATTTTGGACTGGAACAAAAGCCAAATAATACGTCTCGACCATCTCGATCAGCACTGGATGACCTTTTTGGTAAATCATCACCACCACCATTAACATTCAATACTGACAAAACAGAAACATCACAAGCTGGAAAATTATTAATGGGTAAAAATGGTATGTTCACTTATCTCTCTTCCTCTCTCTCTCTCACTCACACACACACTCCTGATGCTGTTAATAACTAAAATGTTTTGTAAATGTACATAGTTTCATCAGTATGTTTGTAGCTTTGATAGAAAAAAAGTATTTGTTTTTCAACATAAACTCCTTTTTTCTTTTTTGTCCAGTCTCCATAGACCATCTATTAAAACTTTCTGATGAAAATTTGGTTAATATCTGTATAAGGCTATGAATTACTAGTTCACCATTATACTCACTGTTGTTTTATTTGTACTGTATTTGGTTTGGTTTTTAGTTTAAAATGACTTATAATGCATATTTAAAGTTCTGATTTTTGATCACATAATGTCTATTATCATCTTTTCTAACTCATTTACACATAGATCATTATAAATTATTTATGACTAAATAAGGGAGAAAATAGTTTCATAGCTGCTGTTTTTAAGTGATTTTATTTTTATTTTTCAGAATTAAATGTTTTATTTTTCTAGGATCTGCTGACATAGAAAAAGAGACTGATGATTTTTTGTTTGGATCCTATTTGCCATCATCTGCTGTTCAATCTGCTCCAAATATTTCTAGTCGAGGTAGCAGGTAAGTGTTTAAAAGATCTAATTTGAAAATATATTTACAATTAGTCTGTCTTTATTATTATGTGCAAGTGACTTCAGTTAAAAATTGTTGCAACATAAACAATTACAAGGTGTTACTTAAAAGTTTTTGGCCTGACCAAGAAGGAAATAACTTAGAGCCATAAAATGTACATTATTATTTCACATATTCAAGACACTTGATAACATTGTTTCTCAAATTTCTTTAACCCTTCCAAAATAAATTCTAATCTTTTCTCATTGAAATACTGTTTTCCTATTGTTCTCACCTCCAAATAATTAAAAAGCTCTTTTTAAGATTTGACAAAAGAAAATAAATGGAGCAAGATCTGGGTATGGTGGATGGTCTATGTACTCAAACTCCAAATTGTTTTAATTGTTTTGCCATCTCTGTGTGCAAGTACATTGTCCAATGAAAAGAGAACACTATTTTTTTTTCTTTTCTTTTTTACAATTTGTAATGCCTGTAACAATAGAGAAAATAGCTTATCTCCAGGATGAAAATGAATTCTGATAAGTCTCACATGTAAAAAAATTTCTCCTAAAAAGAAAATGGCAGCTTTATGAGTCTTATATTTAAAAATTTGAAAAAGATAGATCTCAACGTCAGATAGACTTTTGTGAAAATCTCCTTCAACCTATGCAAATTTGAACTGTCACTCAATCTATAAAAAGTGCTTAAAGAGTCAATAAAGAGGAGTGTGATTGTGGTAGCAAACAAGAGACATGTGTTGTTGGATTGTTTGACTTAGCTACTCTGTTGGTTGAAAGAATAGGGAAATTTTATTACAGGCCAGAAGAAACTGCTTACAGTGCCTCTTTTAACCAACACAATAAGTTAAAGTAGTATCTTGCATTAACTGTTTAGTCCTTGTGAAGCAACATACCTTCTTTATCCATAGAAAAAAAAATGTGATCATTACTTTTTCTGCTGAATTTTGGCATCTTGGATTTTATCAGCTGTGGAGAATCTAAGTCCTGTCACCTCCATAATTGGTTTTCAGATCATAGTGGTATAACTTTGCTTCATCAACAGTGACAAGTTGCTGAAAAAAATTATTAGTAGATCACTGAAAATACTGCAAAATCAATTTGAAAGTATTTATTTTTGATTGGCATTCAAACATTTTGTTACCCACTTGGTTGATAACTCCTGTATACCCAACTGTTTCATGGATATTTCTTGTATCTAAGCAATTCATTTCGTTGAGATTTTTCTAATTGAACAAAATTAGATCATGAATATGATCAACAGTTTCAGGAATTGATGTTGTTGAAGGCTTTCCATCATGTTTCCTCTTTGATCTCAAAATCTTCATGCTGGAAGTTAGCATACCACTTCTTCACAGTTGAATATGGCTGACAGCATCACCTAATGTTTGTATCATAAATTCATAGATTTCCTTTGAAGTTTTCTGTATGAACTTGATAAGTCTAGAGTTCAACACTTGAAAATTCCACACTTTTTTCACTGATATTGTTCAGCCAATTATGTGAAATGAATTCAGAAATAAGCACAATGATCCTCAAATTGGCATTTTACAATATAAAAGAATTTTCTTTCCATCGTCTGACAAAATAATTCTCAAATTTTGGTAAGTGGATCAAGTCCAAAACCTTTCAGTAACTCTTTGTACACTGCCTTCCTTCATTGGTACTTACTCAGATATTTATTTAGTCTTGCAACTATTTATGGGCCTTACTCTCAACTTCATGGACTAAATGGAAAATGACTTATCAGAAATAATGAGGAAAAATATAACTTGGTATTAGTTCTGAATATAATACATATTTATGCTAAAAATGATACAAATCAAAATTCATACTTATAATAAATTATTGACAAAAAATTAAGAGCGTAATTTTGGTTGATTTAAAAGATTGGCTATTATTAAATTATTAGGCACGGTGGAGTAATGGATGGTGGCTCAGATTGAGGAATCGGTAAGCCGAGTTCAAATTCCAGTCAAATACATTACATTCACTTACATGCTAATACCCTTGGGAAAGGTATGAATTGTCTTCTTCTCTCCCCACCCCCAAGCTATGGGTAAGTAGCAGGACAGACCAGGTTCTGTAGCCTTGGATGGCAACTGGTCTACCGCAGAAAGAAATGGCAACCTACTCTGGGGAAAAAATCTGCCTTGTCAGTCATATATCAATAGATATATGATTGCCTAAGTGGGTATCATGCATGGCACATAACTGACTGATTATTAAATTTATTCATTGCATTTTTAATAAGCTGTGTATACTTTAGATTGGTTGTGTATATCATGTTCATTTTGTTTTGCATAGTTTCACATTGAAATAAACAGCATTATTTTCCAACAGTTTCAACTTATACAATTTTTTTTATTAGATGAAGTAAATTTTCTAATTAAGATGTGTTTTGTGTATCATTTGTAAAAGAATAATAATATATTTTGGGATTTTTCTGTAGATTGGAAGCCGAAAGTGAAAAGGTCAACAAAAGGTCAGAGATAGTTTCAACAAGACAGAAAAGCAGTTTGTCACAAAAGAGTAGTTTTGATGATGGTAATGATGATAAACTAGATTGGCTAAAGATTGCTTCTGAACAAGAGAAGAAATCCTCTGGAAAATCAGAAACTGCAAAAGTGGCAGAAACTGATGATGATGATGAAGATTGGTTGGGAATGAAGTCAAGCAAAAAATCCATCTCATTTAATTTAGGAGATGAACTTGATATTGATCTGTCACCTGTCCCCCTTAACCATGTGCAGATCAGTGGAGGAGCCCGGAATGAGAAAGAGACACTACCTTCAACATCTGCACCGGTCACTGAAAAGGCAAAGATTCAGTCTCAAATATCTGGGATTAAGGAAACTTTGAAACCCAAACCTACAAAATCAGGAGTTAAGATTACAAAAGATGTTGGTCCAAAAAAAGAAACACAAAAGGTATTTCTGCATATTATGTTAGATAAAGTAATAAAGAAATCTGATATTAGTAATAAGTATATATCTCCCACCCCTGTTTCAATAGTTTGAAGAAAAATAACATAAGAAATGAAAGAAATTTCCTGATAAGGCAATTGCTATCTGAGTTTCTTAGCTGATGAGCTATCATTATTTACAGGTAGACTAATGTCCTCCTCTTTGTTCTTGTTATTAAAATGTTTGTCATTGGTGTTTCCAACCTTCTTCAGGTGAACCCATTATTTAATCTACAGGAAGTAGATTATTCTCATTCTGCTGTCCATGTCTGGGGATATCTAGCAATAACTGAGCAGTACTAAAAAGGAACAAAATGAGATATCCTTTGATATGAACAATGAAATGAGAACACTCTACCCTATAGATTAAATAAAGGGTTTAGTTTGAAATTCACTGAAAGTTACCTGGATCAACAGACATTTGAAGAAGGTCATTTGGCACAATGGCTAAAATCTTGTGACAATAACAACAAAGAGTAGGACATTAGTTTGATTGTGAATAAGGACTTCTCATTTAACATTTTCTGTAAAATATGCTCAGTAGATAATAATATGCATGCATATAACAATGTATGTTTGAATAAGTAACTATCAAATGATTAAGAGATGAATAGTTTTCCTGTATAAGATTTATTATAGTACTGTAAAATGCTTCTACTACATTGGTAGATAGAATTTCTAGATTGCTTTTCATCACCTAATCATGTACCAACAAGTAATCTTTGTTTCTCAAACTATCAATAAAAGTCCAACCACAGTTCAGTGTTTTTATTGATTTCTTTTTTTAATTCTTTATTTGTATCTGATCTAATAATAACCAAATAGTTTTTTTTCAGTCAGCCAAGTAGCACAAGGGGCGTTCTTAGACCCATTGGACATTTGATTGGACTTTTTTTCAGCAAATGTTCATGATGGGGAACACTTAGCCTATATAGATATATGCAACTGCCAATGAATACAACATTCTTTGGATAATACACTATGTGCATTATGAGGTGATCTTTAAATGATTGTAAAATATTTACAATACCTGAAATGACAGATAAAGTGGATCATTGGGAGTGTCTTAGCAATCTATTTATTTTAAAATTCCCGAACTTAGGAAGAAATGTCTTCTACAATGTCTTGAAAGGTTATATTAGGCAGCATTTTTCAAACTTTTCTTTTTTTTTTTTACTGTGACCCATAGCAAGAACCACATTTTGCATTGTGACTCATTATACCTATGTGTAATAAATCAAAGACAAACTCTGTTCACTAAGTTTATTTATTTAGCATCGACAATTTAGATGTATATTTCTTATGATTTACTTATTGGAATTGCATGTATCTATTTATATTATCTCTTTGTATGAAGATAAAATTATTACTTTTAGAAAAACAAATTTTAAGGAAATTCTAACACAAAGGTAAAGTAAATAATCCACAATGAGTTTGTTGAACAAGATACATAAACTCAATGAGAACAGACACACACACACACACACACATATATATATAATATCATTATGTTTAAAAAAATAAAACTTAATACGAACTGACCTCGGTGAAAAACTACCAATGATTTTATGAGTGCTGGGCAACATTTAGTGTTATTTATATTCTGCCCTTTGCTCTCACTTGCATATTTTTCTTTCTTTCTTGATGCAGCCCATTTTATTTATCTTAGTAACCACAGTTTGAAAAATCTTGATATTAAATATTATATCATCTACAACTAATAATTTGGCATTGCTACTATGTAATAATAAACAAATTCTGAAATTAGGTCAACAGAAGTACTTCAGTTAGATACAAGTTAAGCAAGTCATTCTGAACTAAGTTTTGTATTTTAAAACTTAGAAACTAAACATTTCTCTGTTCCAGGAATCACAACTTGAAAAGAAACCAGAACCAGTTAAATTGCTTAAAACTCATAAAAAAGAAATGCCACCAACAGCAGATGGAGAAGAATTACTTCAACAATTAGAGTCTGTCAATCTGATGCCTTCACTTGAAATTCTACCTACTTACAAGCTTGAGGCTCAGCATGCTGTCCCTAGCATAAATAGCCCAACTAAAAGTCCAAATCTTGTGAACCTACGTCCACACTCAGCTGACACCTACATGTCGTCTTCATCTTTTGAGAAGCTCACAGATGCTGAGATAAAGGTGAGTTAAATTTCAGTATCATATTTAACAGAACTCTATGAAATATTTTACTCTGTTCTGATTAAATATTTAAAAATGATTGTTATTAATGTGAATTATATTTATGCTATTAAGAGTTTACAAATTTAACAGACATGAGCTGATTGGTATTTTTTTTTCATACTAAATTTCAGCCAAAACAAGGATTGAGAACCACTGAAGGTATAGGATTATGGTTAAAATGGTTATGATCAATGATGTATGTGATTTGAATGAAAGAGAAGGTGGTAGGATGTAAAGATTAGGAGGATTGATAACAATTGACCATTGATTTTCAAGATTGTACTTTTCAGACAAGTATCCAATTGAGAGTCTCTTCCACAAAGTAACAGTTCTTGGGGAAAAATCTGAGTAACTTTCCTTTACATTTGGAATATGTAAGAAGTGATGTCAACACTCAGAAGTGACAGAAACTGTTCATTATTCTTAATATTATTTTGTAAACAATATTTCACTGTAAAGCTGGTTGGTTTTATTGTGGTTTAGAATCAAAGCTTTGCTTTAAGACTGTGCTGCAATGGTAACTATTGTTACTGTTATTAATTGGATTGCATTGTTCTAAGAAAATTATTTGGAGTTTTTCCTCATACAATACTCCTCAAAATATGGAACCTTATATTGAGAAAAATTTAAATTTATAATTATCCCTACCAATTCTTTGAAAAGAATAATGTTTCTGAATTTGGAAATATATCTGTTTTATTATCAAATATGCAAAAAAATATATAATACACACCCACACACACTGAAAAAAAAATCACACATAAAGGTATGTCTGAAGTTTGCTCAGGTGCCTTTATGTAGGCTAGATACTTACTGGAATAATATTCTTTGGTCTAATAAAATCAAAATATCAAGTTATTTGTCTTTAAATTGACACAAGTTTGGATGAAGAACAACAAGAATTCAAGTACTGTCTCAACTGTGAAGCATGGAGGTGGAAATGTTATATGGCCATTTTACATCACAGGGATAATTTTTCATAATGGTTGAACAAATGAAATCACATACTGAAATATATTGACAAATAATTTCCTTACATCAGTCAAGGTTTAAAAAATGACATTCAATTGCTTCAACTATCTTAAACATGACATCTCCATAAACAAATAGTGGTTTGAAAATAAGAAAAATCAACCTAGTGAAGTGACCCAATCAGTCTCCTGATCTGATCTTTCATTCAGTTGAACAGTTAATGGAAAATGTAATTAATAGATTTGAACTTGAACTGGAAAAGTAGATAGCTTAAGGTTTGCTAAAAGAGAGTAGAATTCTAGATATTAGAAGAATATTGTAAAAGAAAATTAAATTAATAACTGGAAACAATCAATTTATCAAAACTAGAGATCTTGGAACATGTTGATAGACATTTTGGACTGAATCAGGGAAAGAATTCCGTTGATCAAAAACAAATCACTCCTGTCCAGAAAACCAATATAAATGCTAGTTTTCATTGGCTTCAACAGTTGTTGTTGCTTGTCATTCATAATAGCAATTGCACCATAGCCCAAAACCTATTATAATTAATGCTTTACATTATGAGTTAATATCTTTACTTTCAAGTGGCTGGAACAGCTGAGGCACAATTCTGTCTATAGACATCAAGACATGAATAGTTTGTTACCTTGTTAGTATAATTATCTATACTCTTCCTCTACTTCAATGCATTTTAGAATTAACTCATTAGCTAGAAAAATTGCATGACAATAAAGATATCAACATGAATGCTGTATTACCTGGAATAAACTATTGTCATAAATTTAACAGTAGAAAGCCACTATTCATTCTTTCTTGTGCCCATGTCATTACATTATTTGGTGAACTATCTGAAATGCAATGGCAAACTCCACACAGTTGACTTTTTAAACAAAGATTAACACAACATGGAGATGTTGTAATGTACAGCAAGAGTGTGTTGAGGTTGGGGGAATCTCCTAACTGATTACTCTCCCAACAACTACAGGGTAATTGGTAGAGAGGTGAAAGAGACAGGAGGTAACAAAAATAACACTATCTTGGAAATCACAGCAATTTGATGAACAAAAATTCCCTTGGGACTGACTTCACAAGACATAATGTCTTGCCAACTGCCAGCTGCTGTTTTTTTCCCCCCGCTTTTATTGGCATGAGACATCTTACAAAGACCCGGGATCTTGACCAGTTGTAGAGAGGCCCGTATCTGGACATGCCAAACTGTCCTGTCACTAACGGGGAAAAAACCCAAATGTAACTGGCGTTGACAAACATGTCCGCATGCAATTCAAGGCCTTTTTTGCATCACTATTGGTGTTCACCACAGGAAGTGATAGGGATATTCATATGCTCATTTTAATTAAGCAGCCAATGATCACAAATAACCATTAGGCAAAGGAAAGGAATTTCATAGATGAAATAAGGATTTATTGTTAAATATCAAGCAAATTTTGTATATGTTTTATGCTTTATTAAAAACTGCTCATTTCCACATCTATGATTCATAAATTTGGCAAATACTGCATCTGGCAAGCAGTTTTATTTAATTTTTTTATTTCAGATAAGTCGTTTGCAGATAGAAAAAGAGCAGCTTGAAATTTTAATAGAAAGTGTAAAGAAAAGGTGCTCTGAGGAGATTGAAGCTATTGAACAATCTTACAAGTAAGTTTATTTTTCAGTTAATACACCCTTTAACAAACCTCATTAGATATCATTCCCTTTTAAATAAACATCAAAAAGTGAATTCTCTAAATTTAACAGTCTGTGTTGTTTACATTGAAGTTAAATTTTGTGGTACTTTGTATGCATTCCTCTTCTTCTCTACCCTATTATATTTGTGCACAATATGGAAAATTCTGTATTGAAATCAGAAGCTAGAACTGGCATGTGGGTATCACATGCATGGTTAATATTTTTGCAATTTTCATTTACTTATATTAACAAAGAAACTGTTAAGTTCAGTGTTTGCACTCTAAAATAGCTTGTTATAAACAACCAACTTACATATACAGTTGCTTTAGTTTGGAGAGAATGACTTGCAATGACAAATGCTTTTAATGACAGAAAATTTCATCTTTACCACTTTCTTAAGCAACTAAATATAATTAAGTCTGGGTTTTTACTCTCACTTCTAAAAAATTCCTTTCATAATTATACAAACTGAAAACTGATCGTTTAACTCCTTCCACACAAAGAAAAATGATGAATGATATTATTCATAAAACTAAATTATATATATACTTTTAACACATAAAAATAAGGGTTTTCATTATGCATGAATTAATATAATAATCATTTAAAACTGAATTCATTCTTAGTGACAATGAAACAAATGAATGAAAACTTAGTCTACACAAGTTGTTCCAAAAGTAATACCTAACTTGTCCTAATATTTTCAGTAAAAAAACATACAGATTTAATAAACACATGCATTGCATTACATGTAATGTTCAATGTGTTCACCATCAATTTCAATGCATTTATTCAGTCAGCAAGACCTGCATACATTCTGACAAGTTCAATGTCAGAGGTGAAAATTTTCTTTTTTATTTTGGTTTTCAATTTTTTGTATGATGTCTGGTGTTGCACCATATGCCTTATGATTGTGGCTCAGAATTAGGAATCAGAAAAGGTATGAATACATCTATTATCTTCCAGCTATGGGTTAAATAACAGTAGTTGTAGCTGGAAAAATCATTGTTATCTCTCAAAAATTGTTAATGCATTATTCAGTCACATAAGAACCTGAATTATTCTTAAAATCAAAATATGTTTCAGCTTTAAATAATCTACAAAGGATTGATAAACCAGGACAAAACCAAAACAGAAACAAATTTAACCATATGCCATGTTCTTTAAGATTCCTCACAGAAAAAAGAATCTAGAGAGGTTAGATGATCTTGCTGGTCATTCAGCATCACCACATTATTCTAGTCCTTTAAAATTATTCAAGACTGTTTTGATAATAATGTGGCCATAATGTGATAGTGTTGTTTTGTTAAAAATAACAATCAGTATATAATGATTTGCAGCTACAGAACATTTCAGAGAAGATTTAGATAAATTTAAGATCATATTACCATCAAAGAAGTATTATTCTATGATTAAAGTTGATAAAATTGCACATCAGATTGTTATGCTAGGCAAATCAAGTATTTTGTCTAACTGTACATGAGATTCTCAGAAGCTCAATACACGCAATAGCATTTATCTGTCTTTTTGACTTGATGGTCCTAAACCTGATCTATGATTGTCTTGCATCATGGTCAAAAATATCTCTGCAAATCCAATATATAGATCAGTATTATGAAGAGCATGAAACAATCTTGGAATGTAACTTTTCAGTTGCCTCTGCTTTAGTAATCAAAAAATGTTTGACTGACACAAAATTCAGCTGAATTCAGATTTGAAGGGTTTGTTTTAAATGTTCTATTATTTTTTCACCCTTTTCTCTTGTGATAGCTGCAGGAGGTCTTCCCAAATTTTTCCTATTGTGGTTGCATTTCTTCAAGATTGCTTTCGTATTGTTTCCTTTGGGCATATGGCAATGTCACTGCTCCAATGTCTGCTAACCTCCATTGCATCATGTGCAGCTACTTGCTGTTCAGTTGTCAGACAAGGATCTAAAATGAAATAAATATTTCATTACTTACATACCCTATTATTTCATAGATCAATACAATAAGTTACTAAAAATACTATTGTATGATGTATTGATGAAATAGACTGCTAAGATATATAGCGATCAACTTCAAATTGAGTGACTTTTGAGACACTCCGTATATTATTTGCTTTTTGTAGATCAAGACTTCAACTGCTGGAGGAAACTCACCAACACAAGGAGACACGCTGGAAGGAAGAGAATGAGCAACTGCTAAAACAACACTTGCAGAAAATGCAACAGTTAGAGCAAGAAAAAAGTGAACTAACAGCACGGCATTACAACATTTTGCAGAATGCTGTAGATGAGAATGCAGCAGAAGTTCAACGCTTGAAGGAGTCTCACCAAACAGCTATGGAGTTACAGCGCAAGGAATTTGAGGAGGCTCTTTATCGAATGAAAGAGGTCAAGCAACGAGAGGTGGACAGTGTAGAAAATTTCCAGTCAACATCAAAGTAAATAATACTTTTTAAATGTCTTCTATTCAGTTGAGTCATAAGTAATTTCAGTTTTGGGGAAGCATTTGTAATATTTTGAAGAATAAAGTTGAAACCAAGAAAGTACTCCAAAATAAATTCTGATGTTTAGTCATTTTGTCAGATTTTGGGAAGTGGGTTGGGTCAATAACTTTTTGGTTCCTCCCTGTAGGGAGGAAGCTACTTACTCTGGTCACTTTGGGACAAAATCATTTAAATAATAATAATCAGCAGGTAACATTAGGCTAAAGATGATTGAAAACAATTTACATTCTTTGTCATATTAAATTAATAATAATTTAATTTACATTTTTTTGTTATATTAATTGATAAATTAATTAAAAACTAGTAGTACTAATGAAAATTTCAGTTTTGCTATTTTGAATTTTCTAATGAATCATAATTCTTATGTTAATGATTGAATACCATATATGCTCACAGATAGGTCATCACACCCCTACTTTTTGGCTTAATAATTGATTTACTGTTGACTCATAGTTAGGTCACACTATAATCTTGGGAGTTACACAGCCCTTTTTAAATGTAAGAATTATCAGATATCTACCTTTATTTCAAAACTTACAATTATTAATACACTTTTAAATTACATTTCATCAATCATCATGTAAACAAAAGGAAATAACTGTTGTACTGATATTTTTATATTTACCGCATATTATTTTTATATAGAGTCAACAAAAAAAATAAATAAATACAGAAGAAAATGTTACCTACATTTAGAAAAGACTCCACTGTCTTTCTGCTGATCAATTTCCATGTTCTTCTGCATAATTTAGTACTTTTAATTTAAAACCTACTTCATAACTTTTTTTTTTTTACTTATGATTAGGGTTTGCAACAATTAAAATGATAAACTATAAATTTGGCTAGGCTACCAACTATATCACTGCGCAATGCAAAATAGTGCAAACGTTTTGGGTACTAGATTCATGCATTGTTATTTGTAAATAACGCTTAAGAATGCCTTTTAATGTTATATGAAACAACCATTAAAGAAAATTATTTCATAAAGAATATATTTCATTTCTTTAAGTCATATTTTACAAACATATTTTTGACAAAATATATATATCTAGCAGAATGAATCGTGGGACTATTTTTTCTTTGTCAATAAACATCTACACATGGTTCCTTAATTTATGTATGCATGTTCACTGTTCAGGGTTTCTATATCAGTCTAGTGTGAGGACCCTGACCAAATGGTGACTGATGGATCAATGAATATTTTATAATTTTATTTATTGTGATGGATATATGAATCTAGCAGCATGAGATAAGTTTAAAGCAGTGAGTCAGTATAGATAATAGATAAATTGTTTCTATATGGAGAAAAACCACAGCTTTAGTGTTTATGGGTATCATTTCCAATTTCTCAGAAAACAGGATGACAAGGTAGAGTTGTTTTACATTTATATTTTGTGAAATTTTTGGTAAAAAAAAAATGTGTGACCTATGTGCAAGTGTATACAGTAAGTTCCTTTCAAGTTCCACAACTTTAAATCACTCCTGGAAATTCTCCTATTGCCTTGTTAAATATTTGAGCTTACCAACTCTAATAAAATATTTCAGTAACAATCATAAGTATGAATGTAGGTCATTATTTAATGAAATAAGAGTACAAATGAAACCATTTGAAATTGACAGGCTTTTTCCATTTCACTGAAGCACATTAAAACATATGAGAGTATTATCATCTCCTCAATCTTTTTTTTCTTCTTTTTCTTACTGAAACCAAACATCTTTGATATGTCTTTTCTGTCTATCCATGCAATTAAAATGGAAGAGTTCATTATTTATGAGGTATTGGCTGGCTGTAATGTACATGATAACTAACTAAAGAACAATCAGAAATATATCTGGAGCTTTGATCATAATGACCAGAAAAATTTAAATGAAGTATTGGATAACAATAATAGTTTGATAATGTTATCTGTGATCAGAATATACATCTATCCTGTAACTGCAAAAGATAAGGTTCACCAAGAACTACTAACTCCTGGTTAGATTTGTCCCCGCCACCCCAAACAGTTGATTGTAATTATAGTGTTTTATATCTTTGTTTAAATTACAGGTCACTGCACTTAGTGATTGAGCAGATCCAAGCCAATGCCAAAGATCTGAACATCTTCCAGCAAAAGCTTGACCACTGGCAAATTGGAGGAATGGATGAGCGAGAAATGTCAATTCGGGCACGTGACCAGCAACTGAAAACTTTTCAAGAAAGGTTGAATCGACAGCAGGAAGAGAACGCTCGTGAACGCAGCCGACTGGAAGAGCTGATTTGTCGCTTGGAAGGGCAACTGCACAGCCAAACACAACTGCTGGATGATGAGCGGTGGAAGGTGAAACAAGAAGTCAACAAATTCCATGCACTGCAGGCATCAGTGGAGGCTGAAAAGAAGCAGTGGGGAGAGCAACAGGCCAGGGAAAAGGCAGCCATGGAAAAGAGTCGTGTAATATATTATTTACATTCAGACTAATATCCTTATCATTGTTGTAGTTATCACATTTCTGCTCTTATGCCTGCCACTTTCTTCATTATCTCTTATTTGTATGTAGAATTGTCACCTATGCATCTACAAAAATGAAGGCCATCAAATGTATTCATGTAAATCCATTGTAACAATGTCTGATATTGTTAAAAAGTATTCAGATTCTGCCACAGAGGCATATTGTCACTAAGATATTAGTTAAAGTGAGCAAACAGTACTACAAAGCATATTCATGGAGCACTCTGTAAGAAACATACTATCAATGTATTTTAAGTCTAGTACACTATTTAACAAACCTAGGTCTCACCTCACATAAGACTTTGGCAAGTTTTCTTTTTCTACTATCTAATGTTTTGAGTTACTGAGTAGCAAACCACCCACATTCCCTCTGTATTCCATCAGCGAGAAGTAAGTTCCACTCAAACAGATTCTCCCTGCAAATCACTGCTCTATGGAACAGACTCCTAAGATGTTTTCCCCAATAACTACAATCTTAACCCGTTCAAGTCTAGTGTCAACTGTTATCTTCTCCTATCCATATAAACTACCCTTTAATGTAACCCTATACCACGAATGGCCTCCAGGCCTTGTACAGGGTGACCCTTACTGCAAAAAAAAAAATTCTGACCTACTAATATCGTAGAAGAGTGAATTGTGGGGTTAACAAATGTTATAACTCATTTAAATGTGACTATGCCAGGTAACTTGAGCTATTACATATATTCATGTCAGGCAGTATCCAAAAAGTTACTGGACTAGACCTTAAAAAATGTACACCATTACTCCAGTAAGTAATTAAATTTGGCCACCATCCCCTTCGAAATAGTCCTTTTGGGAGCTTAAATTTTTTTTAATTGGATTTACCCCAAGCAAAGCAGTAAAACCACTAAAGCACAAGGGGTTCTTGGATATGAAAGAATTAGAAAACAGAAACATTATTAAAAACCAAGAACAATAGAAGAGTGATTAGGAAGACAATAAATAACAGCTGACATTGCATTTAAGTTTTTGAGGATCACTGTTAACTGGAAAGCATGGAGCTGGAAGAGAGTTCCACATGTGAGAAGTGTGAGGAAAAAAAAATGTTATCATAGAAGTTACAGTTACATCTAACCAATTTAACTGTAAATTGATGAGAACTGGTTGTTAAACTATGACTGTGCTTAAACTCATAAAGTCAAGGTACCATAGCCTTTGATGTGTCCTAGGATAGAAAATGCATCTTTGAAAAAATAAGTTTGGAGGTAATAATGACCTGTATCTACCTTTTGTTGTAAATACAAACGAATGATGAAATATATTAAAAACTTATTTGGCTTTGTAGAATTGCAACAAAGACAATGTTCATCACCATTATTGAGAAACTTCTGGCAAAGTCTCCTCTTAGATACCTTCTTGTAAGGGCATTTGCATGACTGAACCCTGGATGTACTTGCAGAAAAAAATTAGCTATAGAAGACAGTCTAAAAAGATGTCTTTCTCACCTGATGGATTGAAAGCAAGTCAGCAAGTCTGATTTTGGTGATATCATCAGTTAGTACAAAGAGTTGAGGAGGAAACTGCTGAAAATATTGCTTTCAAGAATTTCAGGAAGAAGCAGCTGGACAAAAATGGAAATCCATGCTTGTGGAAATTGAAAAACTGAAGACTAAAAAACACAAGCTTGGCACACAAGATTTGCTCAAGTCAGCTGACAGCTGTGCAGAGAAAAGCTGACCAAACTCAGAACTTCGCACATCGTCCAATGCCATGTGAAGATCTGCAAAAGACAAATCCATAGAGATCCATATTGGAAGAGTACATGATGGCTAATCTAGATGAACTAAAAAAAATGTTAGCATCACTGTGTTCTGTGCTATGTGCAGTGAAAGCCATGAGTAGTAGGGGTAGCTAAAATGTGTAGTCTTTTTGTGAAAATTTCTGTTTGTAGTTCTGTTCATTAAAATCATTATACTTAAGTTCACAGGAAATGTGCAGCAGTCATTAATTTTTGTGACATTCAAAAAACAATGAGCAATCTAGATAGCTGAAATGTAACGGTAAGAATTAAAGTGCATAATTCAAAATTTTCAAGTGTAGTAGAACTCCAAACTGTAAAATGCTACACAAAATGTATAACATAACCAGGTCTGCATTCAGTTGTATTTTAGCCTTCAACACTTGAATTTCTTCACTGCTCTCAACTGATTCATGTGGCATGAATTATTGGAACCAGTTGTAGCTTTTCTTTGAACATCTCATCTGTCAAACTATTAAAAGTTAAATCACAGAGTTTGTGTTTTTGATATTGTTGACCATTCATTTTGTCTGTTTGTGTGCACGTGCGTACCAGTTTCAGTCCTTGAAATTTAAAATAGTCATGGAAAGGTCCTTGAATTTTTATTTCCAATGTCTCTTCTATGCCTCATTGAGTATCAAGAGCTGAGAAACAAGCTTCAAGTCTCTGCATGTTCAGGTTTTCCATGAGGATCTCCTGGCTGACTATAACTGATTTCAATCATGTAAGAGAGTTGATAGATTGTTTGGGAACAATCCTCATGGTTATGTTCATAAATCTTTAATAGATTTTCTAACATTTTGCCAGTTATTGATCATTCTGAATGCTTGGCATCTTGAACAGTTTTGAAATGTGCCAAAAAAACAAATGAATGTTCTCCAAAAGACTGAAACATCATGATGATTTGTCTTGGTAGCAGATTTGCCATGTTCCATGCTAACTTTGATGCATGAATGTTTGCTGGAATTTATCAGCCATTGTACAGATTACAGAGCTGTTCAAGCATATTACAAAAGCTCACATGAATATTTAACAAGAGTAGAAAGGACAAAGCTGATTAGATATCAGTCAACATTAGCTGCTGTTCCTATGAGTGGGCTGATTCAAAACCAGTTCACTGCCCAGGAAAGAAAAGTAACTCACTCCAATACTATAAATTATGGAATTCATGGTACACAATAGATCGTAGTCACTAGAAATCTTCTCTAAACCACTACTTGCAATATACTGCATGCCTGTTCAAGCAAATCCTTAAATACAGACCAAACTCATGAATATTCATCAGCTTGATCTCTATCTATAAAAGGCAGGATGTGTGTGTGTGTGTGTGTGTGTGTAATGAATGCACGGCCGCAATTTTTGACAGATTTGCACCAAAATTTACATGCACATGCTCCAAGTTAGCGGGAAGGCCAAGACAGACTTTGCATTTCCCAACTCCCATCGATAGTGGAAATAATCAATTTTTTTCATGCTTCTATGACAGTTTTCATGTAATTTGCAGCCATTTTGTACTGGCCAGAGTGAGAGCCTATAGCTGGCTGCCAGGAATAGGCAGGAAGATTCTATTGCCCAGCGTGAGAGCCAACAGCTGACTGACACAAATGTTAACTAGCATGCAAAAAAAATCGATAGCTGCATTCATCACAAGTGGGAAAAATTTAAATCTGCATGGCACTTTACTCCAATTGGCTCATTCGCTTGCTTAAACTCAACGTTGATTCTGATTCCGCAGAACTGGGTTGGGTGTGAAAAAGTACTTGTTGTTAACATTCTTTTTTTCATTCGGTTTTTCCAGTTATGAGTCCTTTTTTAAAGCTGATCGTTTTGTGTTCATTTTGTTTAGTTCTTTTTTCATAACAGATTTAATGTTTAGTATAGAACATAGAAAAAATTTGCTGTGTGAGATAGGCAAGAAGTAAGGCATGTAGCAACATCAGCACGGCAAAGGGCACTCCTTTAAAGGCAAGGAAGAGCAAAAATATTTTAAGTCAAGTGATAGCAATTGCTGTATGAGTCCTACAATTTTTGAATCAAGCACGGGCAATGCTGGGCCATGCTGCTAGTGGTATTATAAAGATCACATTTACACATGTAAGCTTCCCACATTGCAAATGGCCATATGCACACAAAACAAGCTCAATTACTTTCTAGGAATTTGTCAGAGCTGTATTTCCATTAAACAGTTCAATCATGGTTATGTACAGTGTAGGAAATTTATAATACCACATCACATATCAAGTTGCTTACAGCCATGTCACATTGAAACACCAGTTCCTGTACAATTACCAAAGTTAAGCAACATTGAGCCTGATTAATATCTACATGGGAACCACTTGGGAATATCAGGTGCTGTAGGCTTGGATGTGTGGGTGATATAAATGATAACAGCTCAGAATTGGAAATCAGAGTTCAAATTCCAGTTGGGTTCATTATATTATGTGCAAATACCCTTGGGAAAGGTATGTATCTGCCTCTTCCCCCAAGCTATGGATTAATTAGTTGGACCTCTATCAATAAATCATCATTATTTAAAACTATTCTCTGGCTTTAAATAACCTTTAAAAGGTTGATAGGCTGTTAAAAATCAATCAGTCTTATATTGTTATAAATTTACAGACATTCTCATATGCTTCCACATAAATAAAATAAATTTAGTTAGAAATGGCTTCATATTTTTCTTTTATTGTTGGACTTTTTCAGAATGCTTTGGTAGAAGAACAGCGCCAGTTGATGACACAGCTGTTTGAAGAACGGCGAGCCCTTGCTGAAGAAAAGGTCCACATGGAAGTTTCTCGAAAATTGTGGTCAGAACGTGAGCAACAGAATTCCATCAAGGCTGTAAAGGTAACACTTATTTAGAAATTCTGATACTTCTGTTATGAACTTTAAAGTTAATTAGATTAGTAGTCCTAGCATAGAAATAAATACAATATGGGAGCTGCTAATAAAGACAAATGTGGTTGAAACATGACGGCAACAGCATTTGCAACTCTAATCAGCAGCCAAGTTAGGTTTAAAGCTCCAAGTTCACTACAGCAAATTCCCCTATGGTTTAGTGGATTAATTTGTTAGTTTGTGACATAATGATTGTGAGTTCAATCTCTGGGTGCTTGCACACAGTGGAAACGGTTAAGTAATAACTGAGCAATACTAAATAAAAACAAGAACTAGATGATATCCTTAGACATGAGCAGTGGAAAAAGAACAGTTTATTCCTGCACATTAAATAAGGGGTTCAGTTCAGAATTCCTTGTAGGTTACTCAGATCAATATACAATATTGATAAGCCTTAGAAAACTAAATCATATACACCTGAGGAAGGCTGAAACATTGTAATAACAACAACAAAGATGAGGACAATAGTTCAAATATAAATAGTGTAAAAAATAACTCAGAAATTCTTTGGTTGGTTGATTTTATGTGTCAAATTTTGTATGGGGCACCCTCTGAGGATCAAACTCACTACTCAGTAATAACTGTTAACCAGTCTAGCCTTATTGACCATTACTCCATATCAAGGCATCTGGTATAAAGATACTTTATAAGCCCTGGTATGGAATTATATTTAACACATGATCACCCATAATCCATAGAGTTGGAGTATGACATGTACTGCAGTCATAGCTGAAGTAGGCATGTTAAAGGAAAGATAGCCTAAAACTCATCCATCTTCAGGTTGGTTTTGAATTCAGTTTTCCTTTTGATATTACTGGTTGCCACTCAAGGCAAGAGAGTCCAGTTTACCCTGCTATATAATTTATAGCTTCAGGATGATGGATTCGTGCCTTTTCTGTGGGCTCTAATGCAAAGTGAAAGAAACAGACTCTGTCAGAATTTGAACTCTGCCAACTAATTTTTGCATTGATAACCGTAACATAACTTGCACATAAGAACTAGTTGTTTTTTTTTGAGCAACCTCTTTGCAAAAACAAAAAAAAAATAAAAGAACAAAAACAAATGAAAGTATAAACTTGACCTTCTGTAGTTAGTAAAGTATTAATATTTTTAAAATTATTACAAGGAATTTTTCTTTACAAGTTCTGCTATAATTGTGTCCCCCAATTCTAACTATCTTGAGAATTGATTTCTGTCTGAATTTATAGGATGAGGAGTTATTTACATGCAGACTATTGTCCACATCTTTGTTATTATCACAGCATTTCAGACCTTGTGCTCTCTAGATTTCATCAGGGTCTTGTTAATCCTGAGTAACCTTTATTTAATCTACCAGAGTAATTTGTTCTTGTCCTACTGAGCATGTCTGGGAATATCTCATTTAGTTCTTAGTGCTGCTCAGTTATTGCTTGCCCTGTTTCCATTGAGCCCAAGTCTGCACAGCCCAGCTCAGGGATTGAACTCATAATTGCTATGACCAAATTCATGAACTCAAGTTCTACACCCAGGATTGTCACACAAAACAGTATACTAGTGTATTAAAAGATTGGTTGGTGAAAGCTGTAGAGGACTTTTCTATACAGTTTTCTAAATAAAAGGGATACTGGAATAAGAGTGAGGTCCCAAAAGGGAAAAAAGTTACCCATGTCAGGCTATTTCATTTTCATAATAATATTAAATGACTAAATATTTTCCAAAGAAACCTAAAAAATTACATTAATAAAGTACCGTGACAGTTTAATTTTTGTTTCTATCATTTATTTAACTGATTTACAAATCTACTGAAAACAGGTAAAATATCAGTTAATTGCAGTAGATGATGCACAAAATAATATTTGTTGGTTCTCAAAATTAAAGATTACTTCACAGGTTAAGTTTTACAATTGCAGACATCTTTTTTTCCATATATCTAAACTAATTATAAACAGTAATATTGGAAAGTGAAATTTTTACTGAAATATTTTAGAAATTTTCCAAGTTTTCATCTGAAATCAAGATAATACAAACTTTAAGCAAAATGGTCCCAATATATGGAAAAATAAAAGAAAGCCTCAGTTTAAACAGACTAGGAAGATTTGGATTAACCCATATCCTTCTGGCATCAATCAATCTATTTCTCTTGGAGTCACAAATTTGCAAAGTGGGGTTGGTATTTTTCTTATTTTTATATTATTATAGGCATGGTGGAGTAATGGATAGATGCATGGATTGAGGAATCAGAGATCTGAGTTCGAATTCCAGTTGAATCCATTACATTCACTTACATGCTAATACCCTTGGGAAAGGTATGAAAACCTCTTCTCCCTACAGCTATGGGTAAACAGCAGGACAGACTTGGTTCTATAGCCTTGGATGGCAACTGGTCTATCACAGAAAGAAATGGCAATTTACTGTGGGAAAAATCTGCCTCGTCAGTCATGTATCAAAAGATAAATGATCATCTAAGCATGTATCATGCATAGCACATAACTGACTGATGTAGATTTAATTTCTATTCAATTTTGATTTCAAAAGACTTTTCTCTTCTGTGAACATTAAAGTATTTGTAAATCTATAATCACTGCAATAGTAAAAATCAACATGATGCCTTATGTATTTTTCGATAGATTGAAACAGAATTTCATGCAACAATGAAAGCCCTTGAAGAAGAACGCAACAAGTTGAGTGCGCAGGTGGAACTTGTGGAGACTGAAAAGAAAGCCTTGCGGGAAGATCACAAGAAGTTTGAAAAAGAGCGCAAGAATTTTGAAGAGGAAAAAATACAGCTTACTGACCTGGCATCACAAATTAAAAGGCGTTCAAAAGAAGTAGAATCATTGTTTGCTGTGAGTATTTTGTAGTTATTTTCTTGGATTGATTTTATAATTAAAGCCTAAATAATTTTGACTAAATCTAGTTTGCTTACTTTGAAATACACCTGTTCATACCTAAAATATTACACCACAAATATTAATTCTCCTCCCATGTTACTTACTTCTTATATACCTATTCTATATGAATTGATTTCCACCAATAGGAGTAGATAGGTTTGTAGTGTTCAGTGAGGGACACTTGCTTATGTGGCATAGACTTAATGAGCAACATCTTTCAGGATTTATTTGCCCTTGACAAACGGGCCCAAATCATGATGTGAGGATGCCATGTTACAACTCTGAGAGAATGTTGAACACTGGCATGTATTTCCACAACACTATTCAAGCAACTCTACTGCCATTTCTGCAACAGGAAAATTGTGACACTGGGGTCTCTGGCGATTGATCAAACAAAAAGAGAAGAAAGGAAAAAGAGAGAATCTACTAACTGGAGGATAATTGTTGAAATTGCAGGAAGATGGGTTGAAAAGTTGAGAAAAAAATTAGAAACAAAATGCATTGAAAAATCATGTTTCAAGATAATTCCGAGGAGAATTGAGCCCAAGATTAACTAGATGAAATTCAGTAAGATTGAACAAACCCAAGATTATCCGTCCTTCTCCACTTCCGACCAATAAGAAAGAAACCATTAACCATCCACAAAGATTTCAGATAAAATAAAAACATGTTGACAAGAAAGAAACCAGGGTGGTCGTGGAAATAAATAACATTCATGATTCCTCTGGACAAAGGAAAAAAAACATGTTTTGAATCAGCCACCCAGAAGAAAAGTACTCCCGCAGAGATAGACCGACTGGACATTCATCATTATAATTTCAGTGACATTCACCTAGAGGAAATTTTATATCCACACATTAATTTGGATTCCTTTGGATACAAGTAGTAAGGAAAAATTAATTACTATTGCTACTGGAATCTACATCATTTGCCAAAACCTCCTGACAGACATGAAGACCAGAACTTAGAAATTTAAGTTACTACTAAAAGAAGCTGAAGACTTCAAGGGGATTCCAGTGTCATTTGATTATAACAACAAGTGGGAACAATTAAAACCGCTGTATACAACAAATCACATATAAACCAAATCATTGTTACATATTTAACCCAAGTTAATTCTCTATTCCAAAGGATTCTTGTTTTTTTGTGTAGCTCCCAAATTATTGAACTGTCTTCACTTCAAGTTTGCTTCATTAGCAATCTTTTCACTCACTGAGTTCAAAAACACAATGTGGATGGTTGCAAACAAACAAACACCAACAAAGTCAAGTGGAACCATGCCACCATTACAATACCAGTGACAAAACAGATCACACGCTAACAAGTGAAGAGTCAGCTAAATGGTAACCACAGTAGTCTGAAGGAACTTGAAGGCCAACTCAGAGGTTACATTATTGACCACCACTGTCTAGAGCCAACAACTGGGTGACATTATTGGTTACTGATGATTAGGACTGACTAAGAGGTTACTGTGATACCTGTACTATTCAACATATTCTGCAACATGGTCAATAAATTTGCTAACCAGCACAATCACCAAACCTGTCACTTACTGAAAATGTATGGCATATGATGGAACAATGTCTAACTCATTTAGTTAACCCAAATACAACTCTTGCTGTATGGTGTTAACAGAAGCAAGAGGCATGGAATGAAGTAGTGTAGGATGGTATTCACCATTTGTACAATCACATGTATGTTAGTGTAACATCCAGAGTATTAAAATGGAGTCTGAATACTTGTTGGGGCCACCCACCTTCTGATGAGAATGGACTGATCTACGATCTACGATATAGGACAGTGCTAGAGAGTTCTAGGAAGATCAGGTGACAATCACACTTCCGTCTCTCTACCGGAAGATACAGTTGGACTTTAGACTCTTGCTGATTGTTACTAGTAACCTGCGTTCATTTGACTACTAATCTCTCTGTTGTAAATACCTCTTCAAATATACCAGTATTTTTCCCTACATATGTGTTTGTCCTTATTTGAATACACGCACACGGAAACACTCCCAACATCTTAACAATACTTATTTTGAAACTTTGTTCACATATTAGTTTATAGATGTGATCTAGGCATATTAATTGTATGTTTAATCAATCTCCTATCTTCTAAATAAGTAAGTAACACATTCTGTCTGTCCGTCCGTCCATCTGCATGTCTGAAATCTTAACTCAGGCCACACTTTCTATACATAGATATATTATACCATTTTGGATTCAGGATAGTCCCAAGATTGAAAATCTGCTCTTCATTTGGTGCTTGAACATCCAGCATTAAGATTTGTCTGGATGAGGAGGGAACAGTTAAAAATTCAAATTTTAAAATAACTGAAAAAATTAGTAATTTTAAGTTTTTAATTTATATTGAATTTAAAGTTGCACAAAAACTTTGTGAATTTAAAAACTTTTGTTTTAAATTCAGTTTGAAATATCTCCAAAACTTTGAATTGAGGAAATCAATCTTATTTCTTCAAAATGTCAAGGAATCAGAGTTAAAGGGAGAGGTTTTGTTATGTGTTTGTTTTGAAGTTCCACAGAGTTTGTGATTTGAAGAACTCGGTTGAAGTTCCATGGAATTTGTGATTTGAAGAATTGGAATTTCAGCCCAAATCAGACTTTCAGCCAGAATTGGAATTATAGCCTGAAACAGAGTTAAAGTGAAATTTTGAAGTTCCATGTAGTGTATTGAGGAATTCAAAGGTATTTGTCCAAAATTATCATTGCTGTCTTCTAAGCTGGACCAGAGATCGCTTTAATTTTGGGTCGGAGGCCCAATTGGCCCTCCACAGGATCTAGCTTAAAAATCTGCATGGAGTGCGGCTTCTAAACTAGTCTTGAATAAATTGGAATAAACTTTTTCAAAATTAATTTATTAGTTCACTTTGAGCCAGACTTTCTCTTCCTGAAGGTTTTATATATTTTCATATATTCAATAACTAACAGCATGGCCCGGCGTTGCCCATGGTTGATTCAAAAATTGTATGACTCGTACAACAATCACTATCACTTGACTTAAAATATTTTTGCCCTTTGCTGTGCTGATGTTGTTACTTGCCTTACTTCTTGCCTATCTCACACTGCGAATTTTTTCTAAGCTATATGCCAAACATTAAATCTGTTACAAAAAAAGAACTAAACAAAATGAACACAAAACGATCAGCTTTAAAAAGGACTCGTAACTGGAAAAACTAAATGAAAAAAGAATATTAACAACAAATACTTTTTCACATCCAACCCAGTTCTCATGGAATCAGAATCAATGTTGAGTTTAAATGTTTAATGATCCAATTGGAGTAAAGTGCCATGCAGATTTAAATTTTTCCCACTTGTGACAAATGCAGCTATCAATTTTTTTTGCATGCTAGCATGCTAGTTAACATTCGTGTCAGTCAGCTGTTGTCTCTCACGCTGGCCAATAGAATCTTCCTGCCTATTCGTGGCAACCAGCTATTGGCTCTCACACTGGCCAGTACAAAATGGCCGCAAACTACATGAAAACTGCCGTAGAAGCATGAAAAAATTGATTATTTCCACTATCGATGGGAGTTGGAAAATGCAACGTCGGTCTTGGCCTTCCCACTAACTTGGAACATGTGCATATAAATTTTGGTGCAAATCCGTCAAAAATTGCGGCCGTGCATTCGATACACACACACACATCCTGTCTTTTATAGATAAAGATAATAACAAAACTAACACATTACTGCACATTACTATTTCTTAAAATTTAAGCTCTTTTTGCCTAATCTACCTTGCTGGCTAATGGTAATATTAGGACTGGCAGATTTCAAATTTTAGGTAACCCCCTTTTTAAAAAATTGTATGCCATGCACTAATGGATTAAACAGTTTCAGCCTCCAAAGAAGGTATGAAATTTACTAATTATTAAATTCAGATGGTGGCCACAAACCTTTTGCCTATATTGTATACTAAATTGCTGCAATTCTATTTTCTGTCAATCTATATGCATGCACATTTGTTTTTGTTTTCATCTCTCTTATCTATGTAATAAAATAATGAGACATACAAATATGCACTGATAAAGAACATTTCATTAGCAACAATCCAATTTTTATTGTAACTTTTGTAGGAGGCTCAGAAGGTAAAAGAAGAAGGGGAAATGGCATTGGCCAAAAGCAACAAGATGGATTTGGAATACAGTCAGCGTTGGAGGGATTTGATGACCCAAATGGATAACCTGACAGAGCAAGAGAAGCAGGCTGCGGCTGAGAGAATCACAATGGCTCAAGAGAGAGACCATCTGGAGACATTACGCAAAAGCCAGATGTGCTTCAACTGCCGGAATTCTCTATCTGGAGGAATTGGTTCAGTAAATGGAAGAGTGCCCAAAATGACTGCCACTTTCACTTCAGTGAATAATGGATCTGCCTTTTGGGGAGGCTATCAACCTGAGACTATTCCCGTTCAGGCAACAGAAGATTCCTCTCCTATTATTCAGGAGACCCTCCATGCCATCCGTACTGACCAATGGCTAAGACAGCTCAAGAAACAATCCCTAAAGGTATGTTGTTTGTCCATTCTATAAAACCAGTCTAGGCAAACATGTTTACCATTTTGCTTCACTTTATATCTTGTACTATCACTCCATACAGATGGTGCTAAATTCTCCCTCTTTCCTCCTGCCTTCTCAGCATTCAACCTCAGCCTACTTCCCAGGGCAGCATAACTGTCTTTGTGACAATCTAATTTTAAAAATATGTGCATGAAAGGGTATAGTTTTATTCTTGTCATTAATTTTACTTCTCTTGATTCTTCAAGGAAGAGATAAAATTATTTCTCAATTCGTAGTCTTATCTTTGTCCAGTGAAAATATAAACCAGATGGTTTCTTTCCACCAAGGAAAATGTCTCCACCCTCTCTCTTTCTCTCAGCTTATATTCCATTTTATGCTTAACCCTTTCCAGCTCATGATTAACATTTAACCACTTCATGGCCTCAGTATTACACTTCTACCTTTCCTTCTTTATTTCTTTCTTTCATTTTCTCACGTAAAATCAACTAATGTTTTTCCCCTTTTTCCGCACACTCAAAACAGAATAGTCCATTATTTAGGAGACATTAAACACTTTTATCTTCCCTTATTTCATTCTGTCTAGCCATATCCCTGTCTTATGAATATTTCTCTTAATAGTAATTTAAAAATTATTCAGCAAACTGTTACTTTTATTTAATTTAATGTTAATTGAATTTTTGGTGATTATTTACTTGATTTCCATCGTTTGATATTTCACAATATCAATCATTTTTAAAGTACTATTAAGAGAATTATTGTATTGAAAAATTGGTACTTTTATCATGGTCACTATAATATCCCAGCCTTTTGGCTAAGATCAAAGTGTAGCATCTGTTCTTATTCACGTAATCTGATTCTCTCTCTCCACTTCTATTTTCCCTTCTTTCTTTCATTTCCTGACTTAGACTAAGTAATATCTTTTCCCCTTTTTCCACACAATCAAAATGTGGAATAATCTATTATATGAGATATTGATAGGATGTAATAGTCTTGCTAACTAACAAAGGGACGGACAAGTACAATTATAGTAGGATATTTTTCACTAAAGCTAGAGGTTAGTGTTCAAACCTAGGTAAATAGCGACTATTTCATTGATGATTTGTTTTAGGTAAGCAGATTCTTTACTTGAAAGATTGGCATAACAATCTACCTCACTTCTCTTTCTCTCCATTTACCTTTGTACCATACAAAACCTGATAAATAATTGAAATAATGAGAACAACTGCAAAAGAGGCTAAGAGGAATTATTACTGGAAATGTTTTGTAATTTTTTTCCTTTTTCTCAAGATAATTATGAATTCTTTGATATTTCCTTTTTTTTTTCTTTTTGTAGGACAAAGAATTTCTTTTGGGAGAGAAAGTCTATTTGGCAACACTGGAAAATTCTCATTATCAACCTGTATAAAAATTTTTTTTTTTTTTTATTTTATCATAAGTTCCTGCTACTGGTTAAATTGACTATTTTTACAACTAGGCTCCTTGGGCTTATTCCTTTTTTTCCTACAGATAATCATTTTTTAACATATCTGAATATATATTTACAATTTATCTAATTTACGTTTATATTATACACGAACAATATACTTTTTTATGTAATAAAAGAATAAAAAACATTTTCATTGCTCATACTTTTTAATAAACATTAAGATTTTATATCTATTACTTTCATCCATTTATGATTCACAGGACATTGAACCAAAGAACAACCGTGTAGCAATTAGAAACTTGAAAATAAGAAAAATATTGCTTTGGTAAATCACTAGATTTTAGATTTAATATGCAATCAAGGAATGCTTTTTATACATTTTTCTGAATTATAATGTATTGCAGACCAAAGTCCTTGAGTATTGTACTGACAAAAGAGAGGTGGGTTGAGGATCACACTAACCACAGAATCTAGGGCAGCTCATTATGGTGTAATGGTCGGCATTAGTAGAGAGTACAATCCTCGCTAGATACCCCATACTTGCGGTCTTGTGTCAAAAGTAAACTTATGCTTTATAAATAATTATAGAAATGAATACTTTTATCCATTTGTACAATATGCAAGAAGCAATTTCTGACTTACACTATTTACATTTGGACTATTGTCCTCATCTTTGTTGTTGTTATCACAACGTTTCTGTCATTGTGCCCTCCAGCCTTCATCAGGTCTATATTGAAATGGGTAACCTACAGGGAATTTTGAACTGAACCCTGTAGAATAAAGGGTTCAGTCCAGAATTCCCCGTAGGCAATAATGGCACCCCAAATTTCCAAGAACCGGTTCTATAAAGGTAGGTAATCTTTAGTAACCTATACTGCTTATTTTTTTTTCAATCTGAGAATGGAAGCAAATCACTTTTTTATAGGTACCTCCACTGAATTTTCGATACCTAAGGTTTAAAATGAATTCTTAAAAACAAAAAACACATTCTTGAAGCTTTGTTTTTTAGCTTTAATTGAAAGCTAAATGATTAAATTTAATATTTCCAGTAAACAAAATACTCTGGTGTATTTCAAATAGAAATTATATTGGTTAGAATCTTAACTTTTCGCTCACTTTCAGAAATCATTTAAATTTAGCCATTTTTGACACATTTGTAAGCAAAAGTTAAGTCTCAGTTTTAAAAATCTTCCAAAAATAAAATATACTTTTCTGAAACTTTATTTGAGAAATATTAGTTGATTTAAAATATAATTAATCCAATTTGAAAAAATATTATTTTAAGTTCAAAATGAAAGCAAAATGAATTTTTAAAACAAATAGTAGCATGATTAAGTGCTTGTCAACATCTTGTAAATCACTTGATGAGTGATTTACAAGGTGTTGACACATTTGTTATTGTTCTAAGGAGACCTTGTCTGTTAAAACATAATTTAAGAAAATGACAGGTGAATGATTTTTTTATATAATTTTTAAGTACTTGATAATCTTAAAAATTTTGGAAAATGTTCTCTGTAATCTAATTTTAGAAATGTTGAATTTAAATTTACTATAATCATTTCTCTTATTTACTGATTATGTTGTGTATGATCAACATACTTTCAAACGGGCGCGTTTTAAAAATTTTTAAATTTAAAAAAAATATTGGTAGTAAATGACTTATTGAGCTTTCCAATTTTTGATTTGTAAATATAGTTTTCACTTAATAACAATATCACCAAACCAGATTAAAGTAATGCAGAATTTTAAACAATTTATAATATAAATTAGTACAATTAAAATTTTAAAAATGAAAACAATCTTGTAAAAATTCATTGTTCATTGAAAAAAATTTTTTTCTTCAGACAATAGTGTCCTTATTAAATCTTATTTATAAAAAGCAATTAAAAGCTTCTCTAATTAAATAATGTCATAGTTTTATTGTATTTTTTTATTTTACAATTTGGAGCAGATTTTCAGGAATTGATTAGTAGTTTGAAAAAATAAAAATAAAAAAAGGAGTACTGCTTTTAACTAATAAAACAAATTTTAGGATTGAAATTTAATTTCTCAAAATGTCATGAAATTAAGTGGGGGATAACATATGTAAAAAAAAAAAAAATATTTTTTACCAAGATTTTCTAAAAAAAAAAATATTTAAAAAATAATTCCATTCATTTGTGAATAAGTCCTGAAAGTCTCATTAAAATCTGATACTTATTAGATTTTTGCAAGAATTTCTAAATCGATGTTTTTTTGTTTTTTGTTTTTTTTACTGAAAAAAAAGCACAAAAACACTAATAGTAATTATTATGTCAACTGTGATGTAAAAAAAAAAGGTTTTTAGCCAAAGTTTCAAACGTGCTAGAAAGAATTAACAAAATTTTAAAAAACAATTATAAAATACTTTGCTCTTTCCTCTTAACAATAACAAACATTTTAACAATGAAACTTTGTTTTTAAGTTTGGGGCCTTTTTTCATCATGCTATGCTGTTTTTCGGTGAAAAAGTGGAGGTACCTAATTTTATGATATCAAAAAGAATTAAATCATTTTGATAATTTAATAAAAAAACATTTATCAAGATTGAAATTCTGTTCTCATCATATTTCTGTTCAGAAGTATGAAGCTTTTTGACCCTAGTGTATTATGGTTTCTTAGCCACATTCGAACTGACCTACTAAATTTATGACTAGATTTGCCACATTTTTAACTTTAAGACAATTTCTTTTGTAATTTTAAGAATCGGTCTGTGCAAACTGGTACGATGACACCACTGACTGTAAGTTACCCATTTCAATATAGACCTGAAGAAGGCCAGAGGACACAGTGGCTGAAACATGATATTGACAAAGATGGGGATAATAGTTCAAACATAAATTGTGTAAATAATAACTCTTCATCCCAGAAATTCAGATAGAAAGCAATTTTTATTTTTTTAAACAATTTAAATTTACTCTATGAATAAAAAATTTTCTGTATTATATAAATTAGTCTGTTAGTACCTAGTAGAGATTTTCCAAGCATAGCTTAGATGTGGCACAAGGCCGAAAGTATGGGTCATCCACAAGCTTGCTAACCATTACACCATGCCGAGGTGCCTCTGTTAGTACCTAGTATGCTGATTCCTTAAAATAGGTGTGCGTCTTCATTTTTTTTCATACATGATCTGTTGTATCAGATTTCTGCTTGTTGAGACACAAATTAGTTGCTTATTATAGAGCAATTACATGTAAAATACAATTCATTGCTAACAAGTTCAGTCTTTAGTTAGAGTTCAACTGTTTGTTACAAGATGAGATCTTGCCCTGCTTCGATAAACGGAAGTTACCATCACAAGTCCCCAACTCAAAATGAAAACTGCACGTCTACGCATAGGCTTGACGCAGATACTTCCATTTGGGACAAACTCAAAAAAAAAATGAAAGAATTAAATCAACCAATCGAAACGTCTCCCGCATAGTCAAAAAATTGCCATTTGGAGCTGATAGGCGTGTATAAGTTCAACACGGGAAAGTCAAAAGGCAGTCCCATTCAACGGTGGAGGTAGAAGGGTCACGTCGCTCGCTCCTGACACACTGGCCCGGCGACCAAACGAAGCATGTGACCGCTGCTGCTAATGAACTCTCATCCGACACTTTGTCAAAGGGTACCTTTCCCCTTCCATAAGTCAAGTTAACTCCACGAACTTTACTTGCCACTACCATAGACATTCAACTTCTTAAATACGAACCTTTTACTTGTTCTTATTTTCCTCACTAAAAAGACTATAAAATATATTTACAGTCTTTCTTGTTCTTTCGATTCTGAATTTCATTGTTTGCAACCAAACGCAGTATTTCGCCCACATTGTTTTCACATCGCCCACGCATCTAAATACGGAATATATGTTGAAGTTGGAAAATAGTAAAATGAGTCTGGTTATGTTTTTCTCACTGATAGTTTTCATCTCTAAGGTATGTCTAAGGGATTAAGGCTTCATAGATCCTGCTTCCTGCTAGTATTTTCTTCATTGCCAATGTGATCAGACTTCAGTTTAAATAGAGCGAATGGCATATAAAAATCCCATTCTCAATCAATATAATTTCATGAAGGACATGCAAAAAAAAAAAAATCAGTAACTCAATATATCTACCATCAAACATTTCTTTTTCAATTTCAGAGGGGCCAAGAACTTTGATCTTAACTGTGGTGAGAATTTTAGGTGGTTTAAATCAACAAGACATGTCGAATTAAGTTTTTAATTTAACAAAAACCTAAATGCTTTCTAAAAGAACTGTTCAATTATTGCTAGTTCTGTTTTTACTGGGCTTGATTCTGCACTACACATTGGACAATAACTTAGATCAGCATTTCTCACCTGGTGCTCCCAGGCACACTAATGTGCCCTAAAAAGTAGCCTGGTACTCTCCAAGTTAACAGAAGTGTAATTTATGACTTATTTTTATATTTAAAAAAAAAAAAATCTTTTTATTTTTAAAATGCTAGACACACCAATCATATGGCTTCCAAGTCTTTGCCATTTGATATTTAAAACTGGATGCTAAATTCTTTAATCTTTAAGGAGTGGATAATCCTTTCCCTTTTGCCTTCCCCTAGTGATTTAAATCTATCATTATCGACTTCTCTAAACAAAATAGCAGATTCTTCATAAATCCCTTTAAATTAAAATTGTATTGTTAATCTTCTTTGGAAATGCTAAACCAAAAATTTTTCTTCTTTGCCAAAAGTCATCAAGCACAGGTTCCACACTAGCATACTTAAATATACAATGTAATATCTTAAAAATAAACAAATATCACCAGAAGAAGGCCGAAGCATACACCGGCCGAAACGTCGTGAATGTGTCAATAAAGATGAGCACAACAGTCCGAACAATGTAAATAGTTACACTACCTCATCTCAGAAATATAGACAAATGTTGGATATATTTTAGTTTTTAAGTTTACGACTTCGGAACGATTTCCATGACTAAGGGAAGTAATTTTTTAAGATTATTAAATTAGCATCCTTTTAAAACTATAGTTACCTCCCTTTTAATATTATTAATAGTTGCCTCTTAAATTGTTTCAGCAGTTAACATACAAACGTAAAATTTGTAAAAGTGAGGACGGACGGATGAATGGATGTTGAAGGCTGTTCATTCAAAATATTATAGCCTTTCCATTCTGTTTTAACATATTCCATATACATTAGCTTAATGAGAGGTTACTATTAAACTGTTTAAGAAGAGTAACTTTTAAAATATAGTGGCATTTTCTCATATTCTTTCACAAGCATATGAAAAAAAAGTACATTAGAGAAGGTACTTACAGGTTATATACACGCACAATAGGTTTCCTATAAAGCAGGCAGATACAAATTTTTAAAAAATATGAAGGGCCACATTAAATTAGCCACATGACACAAGAAAAGATTTATTGAGTAAATTACTGAAAAAGGATTTCTTCACATCTCAACAGTTGTAAACCAAGATTTGATTCAATTGTATTCTGAATGAAACCACTGAATAAGATTTTCGGTATGAATGAGACACACACACACACATATATATATTATTTTTTATTATAGGATATTACATTCAAACACATAGATAAATGCTGCACAAATACAATGATGTTTCGATGTGTATCAACACATCTCATCAGGCGTTAGTAAATGACTGATTAGCACAATTAGGATTTCAACCACATACAACGTTTTTTCATGTGAAAAAAGGCAAGATAAGAAAAAGAGCATTGAGTTATCAAGAGGAATTAAACTGAAATATCCAAATACTTTGCTCTCTTTCATTTCTTTTTCCTTTTATTCGTGTGAAAAAACGTACATGGTTGAAATCCTAATAAATTGTACTAATCAGTCATTTACTAATGCCTGATGTGTTGATACACATCGAAACATCAGTGCATTTGTGTAGCGTTTATCTACATGTTTTAATGTAATATCATATAATAAAGTATAATGCTCTACTATTAGATTGTATTGAACCCTGTTTTAAATTTGAATAAAATTATGCTTCCACAGAATTGATTAGTTGCTGAATTTATTTTGATCAACCCCGAAAATTTATTATTTTGAAAATGCCTAGGTAGCAAAAAAGGAAGCTCATCAGAACAATTGCCATGAAAATAGTTACAGAAATGATGAAAAGGTTGTTTTCCTCCATGACAATGCAAGGCCACATATAACAAGAATAACAGAGAAAAAAATTTTGGAACTCCATTGGGTTGTTCTACTGCTATCCCCGTCCCCATCTATATTCAGCTGACCTTGCACCAACCAATTATCATTGCAAAATGCTTTGACAAGGCAAACTTTATAATGAAATCCCAGATTCAAGAGTTCTTCAAAAACCTTTTCACATCAAAGTCTGCTGAATTTTACCCAAATGTATCAAAGAGCAACAAGTCTTTGCAAAGAACAGTAAATATATAATTGAATAAAATTTAATTCTTCCATTTTATTGATTGTTTTTATTTATCATACAAATGACGGAGCATTGTTCACATTAGTGGACCCCCTTCCAGGTAACTGACTAGCAGCATGAATGGCAGTTTTCACTCCAAATCTCCAAATGTATCTGTCATGAGGGTCAAGTGCAGAGAGCTTCCACTCTCTGCAATCATGTTCTGTCAGCCCCATCCATGACATCTTGGGCCCCTCCCAGGCACTCACTTTCCTTTAACCTGAAAGTCTTGGGCACACTTTATAGCACTGCTGGAACGCTCCACATGTCCATATGTGTGAAGCCTTCTCTCTCTCAGAATGGGGGTGAGATCCTTGTGATCAAGCTGTACCAATAACTCACTTGATCATAGTGTGGCCACATCCTCTGATTTGATGTTACAGATCTGTCTGATCATGGTCCTGTCATAACACTGCAAATGCTGGAGGTTTGGCCTGGTCATGGGCCAGGTTTTACTTGCATGGAGCATCATGCTCCGAATACAGTTCATTGAACTTCCCCCAGGCATTTTTTTTTTTTTTTTTTTTACCCGTATTATGGTTGCAATTGTGTGTTATTTTTGAAAAATAATGTTGATAAACAAAAACAGAAATTATTCACGACACAATCTAATGTTTATTTTACCTATCTAATTTTATATATTTATTTCTAAATTTTGGTATTTGAAATAGTTTATTAGATTTAGGTCATAGGATATTACTTAGTCTTTTCAGTCATGATTTAGTTGTAGGTAGCATACTAGAAACTTGTTTTTATGTCTGCATATATATATATATATATATATATATATATATATATATATATATTTATAAATGACAATAGGAAAACAAGTTATTGCTGATGCATTTTGTCCAATGTGGACTTTCTCAAAGCAAAAAACGAAATGAATTTACTTAAAGAATGTATCTAATAATAACAAAAAACAGAATGTTCTTAGCAACTGGAGGAATGTAGAGAAACGCTATTTTCATATTGTTAACTGAAAATAATCTCAACCATTTTCTTTTGATTTTATGATATTGTTGTGTACATTTGTTTGGGAGAGCAGTAATTTTGTTAAGAAAGGTGAAATAGAGAAAAAGCCTGGACATAGATTAATATTTGGGTAATATTCTATGGTGGCACTCTCTAGAATTTTCCTTCTGAGTGAGTTATTTTCTTTTTTTATGAGTGTAGCATTTTTAAAATCAAAATTATTGTTGAATTTATTTCTATGCATGACTAGTGCATTAGCTAACTGCTCTCCCAAACAAACGTACACAATATCGTAAAATCAAAAGAAAATGGTTCAATCCGCCAACACAGTTATAATGACAATATTCTCCACACGTGACAATTATATATTAGTTATTCAAATTTATAACATATGCATGTTATAAAATCACTTGTCAAGTGATAAGGTTCAACATCATCACTTGACAAGTCACCTGAAGTGTCTTTTATAACATGCATATGTTATGAATATGTTATAAATTTGAACAAATATTATTAGCTCTACTTGGTATTGAGCACCCTCTTAAGAATAGTGTTTTTGGTCATTGGAATTTAATTCCATGTGCACCAACCCTGTACTTATATATACAAGATAAAATACATGAAAACCAGCTCCTTTTATGTAAATACAGGGTGTGTCAAAAATACCTCTAAGACAGTAGCAAATGTGTCTTCATCTAACTAATACTTACCATTATGTGGGTGATATTTCTGCCGCACACTGTATTATCCTATCACATAAGAGGAACAAAATATCAACAAGAAAATAAGAATTTTCAACCTCCAACTGGTTTTCTTGTATTCCATCATACCTACTTTGTTCAGATATTTCATATCAATCATTTATCATATATATTTAAAATTTGTTATATTTCTATACAGGGAATGAGTGCTTAGTACCAGGAGGGATAGAATATTTTTAAATTTAGTGTGAACAGAAAAATCCACACTGATGATCTGATGAATATTTAAGACATCAAACTGCTTGTCAATATGCATTGTTGATTTCTATGTCAACAACATATATATATATATATATATTGATGCATGTTTCATTAAATAATATAGACAAGTTTTGTCTATTTATTTTAAGTTCCTTTCATATTGTCTGGTAAGATTAATAACATTATCATTGAAAGACGAAAGGTAATCATATACTACACTAAATCTAGTATATCCAAGTTAATTATTCGCAATGATTCTTCCTCCCACCCTGTTAGAGATTTGCAAAAAATCAACATAGTTTGCAAATTCAAGTGCCCTTTTAGAGATTGTATCTCCAATGTATTAAATAATATTTATGTTGGTCACACCACAAACTCGTTTTCACAATGCTTGACTCTACATTAGAATGATAACTCTAACATTTTTAGACATTTAAAACAACATGCCTGGCCACATACACAATTCTGGAAAATCCTTGTTGAAAACACAACTATACTTATGAAATAATATGAAACAAATAAATAGACAAAACTTGTCTATATTACTTAATGAAACATGCATCAATGAAAAATTGCTGCCTAAATATACACAATATATATATATATATATATATATATATATATATATATATATATATATATATATATATATATATATATAATGATATATAATTTTGTATAATTTTATACATCAACAGTATTTAGAAAAAAATGTGACAAGCTGCAAAGGATTTTTTTTTGTGATGCATTTCATCTGTTAAAGCCCAGTCTGATGAAACACATCACAAAAAAAACCTTTCCAGTTTGTCATATATATATATATATATATATATATATTTTAGAGTTTGTTTTTTCTGGTTGTTGCTTGTTATAATTTATTTGGCCTGATAATAATATGTATTGTGTGTTGTATATTACTAATATATTAATGCAATATATATGTGTATGTTTAAATTCATCTATGTACTAATACCCTTGAGAAAGGTATGAATCCTCTTCTTCTCCCCCACCTCCTATGGGTAAATAGCAGGACAGATCAGGTTCCATAGCCTTGGATGGCAACTGGTCTACCGCAGAAAGAAATGGCAACCAACTGTGGGGAAAAAAAATCTGCCTTGTCAGTCATGTATCAAAAGATACATGATTGCCTAAGTGTGTATCACACATGGCACATAACTAACTGATGTTTATATAATACTGTCAAAATTATTTCAATATTCAGATGTGTATTTTATCAAGTAACATACTTTCGACCTTGTGCCACACTTTATTTTTTTTTTTAAAGAGATCACCTATTCTTATGGTATTTGACAGAAGTGATGTTTGGAACAGTTTCGTTAAAAACTAAACCCACACCCCTTAATCCGACAAGATATCTTTCTCTCCCTTCTATTTTTCATTTTTACCCTTTCCTGTCATTTGTTGCCTCCTGCTACCACAAAATATTTTTTTCTTTTTTGTATGTTTTTTTAAAATCCTTTTATTTCTTGTGTTTGGTGCATTTAAACCAACCTGAAGATGCAGTATAAACCAACTGCAGAAATAAATTTAAGTTTATAGTTGGAAAATTCAAATGGAAGGTTATTTCTTTGAAATTTCTCTTAATTTTATATATATATATATATATATATATATGAAGAAAAATTTGGAAAAAACAAACAAAAATCCTTAAATGCAATTATGTTGTTTAAAATGAATGAAATATCGAGCGTCTGACGTTTAGGGTTTAATAAACCTTCTTCAGGACAATATTCATTAAAAATACAATTCAGTTCAATTTGACAAAGATGATGGACATAAAAAACAAGTCTTATCCAAAACAGATAACTGAAAATCTTTGTCAAATTGAACTGAATTGTATTTTAATGAATATTGTCCTGAAGAAGGTTTATTAAACCAAAAACGTCAGACTTTCATTTCATTCATTTAAACAACATAATTGCATTTAAGGATTTTTGTTTGTTTTTTCCAAATTTTTCTTCATTCTGTCGGATCTATATCCATTTACATTTGCTTACATATATATATATATATAATTCTCAAAATGTCTGTATGTATGCATGTTGATCGGATGTTGTTTATACATTTCCACAGTTTTCATCTGATTTGGATGAAATTTTTTTTGCTTGATAATTCTTCACTGCCGGGTTTGAGTCCAAATTGTTGGCGACAATGGCTCTCCACTACTTCCTGTCCATTATAACTCTTAGCAACGTTTTACTATTTACTATCTCTTCTTGGATATATATCTTTCATAAAAACTTTAATAAAAATAAATAGTTTAAATTATTACAATAATATTATTTATTATTATATAGTTCCCTTTTCAGGGCCACCCTCCATTCAAATTGTTAACCCCCCATTTGAGGATGTGCCTCAGTTGCATCCAAATGTTGTTACTAATATTGATTTTCAGGTGGGATGACTTTAAACTTAAACTGCTCCAATTGAACGGCAAAAAATTCCCAGTAATGAAAGACCCGGCCAAAGATGGGTTATACTGCTAGTATATATATATATATAAAATCTGAAATAGTGCACATTGAGTGCAGGTAATAATAAAACAGTGCTCAATATAAAATAACGGCCGAAATTTGTATATATATGGTGGTAAGGTTGAAGAGGAAGGAGGAAGGACCAGACAGAATGTGACCAACCCCTGATGACCCCAACAGAATAGGCAAAGATCTACACAACCTCGATAGCCAAATCAGTGGAAGAGGTCAGCACCAGTCGGGCTGGCATAACCAACCTTGACAAACAAAGCACCTGACAGCCTGATGCAACCATGTTTGCCAGATCTTGCTTGTCTCAACCCCCTCTTAGCTATAAAGGAGGTGCTTCTGGCCAAGTGTATGGGCTTCAGAGTTGTCAACCAAAATCAAATTCACTCTCTTTAATTCACAACCAACTCTGCCACCAGGAGAAAGAAAGGAAATAGGGAGAGATGATGACAATCCCAATGTGAGCAAGTTCCAACAACAAATATATATATATATATATATATATATTATTTATTAATAATTGTATTGTCATGAGTCCTTACCTATAACTACAGAATGAATGCTTCCTAACATTATGTATACTACGCCTCTCAAGAGAGAGGGTCGAATCGAATCGAGTCGAGCCGATAGTAGTTCACTCCAGACCAGACTGACAGTCATACTAACACCTTCCACATATTGTATTATTATTTCGTGTAATATACCTTCATTATTTCTACTCTTGTGTTCATGTTGTTCTTCCTTGGTCCTAACCTGGACCATAACATATATATTTGGGCAACGATCTCTTTTATACAAATTTCACTAAAGACTGACACAGCAACTGTGACTGAGCTTCTTATTAAATTTTTCTTGCATTTATAC